CGTTGAGATTTATAAGGGGCACGGGGTGACCAATAAAGTCCGAATTGGTCTGTAATAAGGTAGGGCACTGATAAGGGGTTGACAGGTATACGAATTCAAATAAGAACACTACGATGACGATGCAGCTTTGTTTGTTGAGAGGCCTGAAACATTGACACCAGTCCTCCTCCTAAACTTTCACAACAATGCAAGACAACATTTTTTTTGTATGGTTCATGGCAGAAAACAAAAAGTCCAGAACTTGGGCTGCGGCCCTCCGGAAGCACCCTGCGTCATCAAACGGCAACGGTGTCGAAGCAGTGGAGGAATGTCTCCCTGGGATCTGCACAGACCACTGATTGGACGACGTAGACCTGAGGTTATTCGCCGAATCGGCCTGGCCTCAGTCATAATGAACGGTCTTAACCGCATTCGGACCCAGAAACCGTTGAGTCTGGGCACCAAATTGAGTCTACCAGTGCTGTGTTTTCTCAGTTTTGTTGTTGCATGATGCGGAGGCCTGGACATCGCTTCCAAATCGATTACGATTGCTTGCAGTCCGTCCACACGCAATGCCGAAGACGCCTTTTTTGGCGTCCGATGTTTTCGACTTTGTCAGGAATGTCACCGTTGGATCTGCGGTTGAGAGGTTACTCCGAGGGAGACGTCTGTGTCGCTTTGTGGACACGTCGCCCCGTCTTCGTGCGCAAAACTCCAGCAAACTGCGCACTTCAATTGGCGGTCGACGTTCGAAGTGGACTCTAAAAATTATACCGCACCCGTGGCCGCCGCCCCGCCTGTGCTACGTGGATCAGACAAATCACTCGTGACACCGGTACTGCACGGCAATCGAAGCAGTTTATGCGAACGCTGACGCAAGAAGGTCACACATCCCAGTGCAATGGTTCTACGCTGACTGCGCGATGAATGTAATGAAATCATCAACAAGGAAGAGAGTAGTTTGGTAGTGGGGCGCCATGTTGCTACGTGCAGACAATCCACAGTCGTGCAAATGTTGGCCATGCAACCCAAACTATGAACCCTGTAAGTGAAACACCGCGGTCTGCGCTCCTTCAACGGAGGAGGAACAGCAAAACGACACGAACTCGCTGTCTCTCGCTCTCTCGCTCTCTCCTGAAACCCTCTCGTTGTGGCCAGCATATCGACATTGGCATTTAGCCAACCCCCCGCCCCCCCGTGCCACACTGCTGCTGCCATCGTGAGCAAGAACAGAATTCCAACTTAGTGAATTGCAGGTACTTAAAAATAATAATAAGTGCATCATGACACTGGCATACATGGTAAGTAAAGCTCGAGAGTTGTGAGCGTATGACTCGGGCTATCGTTGGTTTGGGACAAAGGGCATGATTAAAGGCTGAAAAGATCTAGGCGGAGGACTATGGTTAGGGGTTGTTAAGGCTACCCCAGTTAGGGCTACGGTTAAGACAATGATTAAGCCGAGGTTTAGGAGTTAGCATTCCTGTTCGGGTTAAGGCTGGCGTGAGGGTTTACTGAGGAAAGATCTCGGGTAAAGGCTAAAATTGCAGCTTCTGAATAGTTACATGGGATATGGCCAGATCTAGAGTTTGGGTTCATAGTTAATATGAGAGCAATAGTTAGGTTGAGAGTCTACGGATTAGGGCTGTGGTTAGGATGTTTATTTAATGGTTAGGATTAGGGATACAGTTTGAGTTAAGTGTTAGGAGTAGGACTTTTGTGAGGGCTTGAGATTGTGGTTATGTATGTTGAACTTCTTTCGCACCGTACGTAGCCAACCATGCTACTCAGAGGTGCAGGGGGGGAGGGGTCATGGTTATTATGGCTATGATTGGGGCTATGATTAGAGCTATGGGGCTATGATTAGGGTTGGCCCTCTCTGCTCTGAAGGGCCATGAACGAAAACGTCAGTCTTACCAGTGCTGTATGTTTCAGTTTTAAGGAAGTTATTTTATTGGTGGTGGTGCGTTTGCTCAGTACACCGCTACCACTAACCAACGCAGTCCTTTAGATTTTTACTTGAATGACAACATTAAATGCTTATTTTGTCCCCAACAAGACGTGACCACAAAATCAGCATTGCATAATTATGAGTCATTATTATATTAATGAATACAGGAAATCGGATTTAAAACAACAGTTTCTTTTCACCCGCATCACTTTGTTTAGACAGCAGTCATTGTTGAATCTCAATTAAGAAGCACATTCAAAAGTGGCCATGACAACAGACGATGCCAATTGTAACTATAATCATGTTAATTATGTTAATGCCACAGGCACGTACATACATACACACACACCTGTAACGTAGAAAGGCCAGCGCCTCATTCCTTCTCATTTCAAGTGCCACTGCAGGCAGCTGCTTCTATCAACATCCACATCATAAGCTTCATCATCATCGTCATCATCATCAACCATTATAACCGGAGGTGTGGGGAAGGACAACAAACAACAAACTAAACACAAAAATAAGTTCTAATGATAGGCACTAACCAGAATATACTCAAGTTACTAGCCAAATCAGTGGTTTACGGCTTCCTGATGAGCATTAATAAACGACCCTCAAGTAAAATTTAGATTTAAAGCTTTCGTGACTGCAGGGATTCATATTCTTGGTTCTTTCGGTAAAGTCACGTAGAAGGGAACCAATAAAATAATACAAAATATAAAACAATAAAATTCTCACGACGTTTCGACTGCAACACAAGCAATCATCATCAGGTGTGAAAACCACAGCAAGAAAATGTTGTTTTCAAATTTTCTTGCTGTGGTTTTCACACCTGATTATTGTTTTCAAATGTTCTTGCTGTGGTTTTCATGAATGAACACCTAGGCGACGCAGCCATTCCGGCCAGCGAGCCTTTGAGCGACTCAAGAGCTGGGCTCCGTAACCTCCGAATCGCGCTCAAACTTTTGCGAAACTGTTGCACATTCCGAGGTGTCTTACTCTCATTACAATCACAACTGGCCAGTGACCGCCAAACATCACGACACTGATGCAAGTTGCCGAAGATTACTCAATTACTTGGGCGATAATGGGGGTTTTCCCTCTTTTTTCTGGCAACAAAACTGAAACCTTTTGACAAGGATTCATGTTGCTGCATTAACCACAATACCTGCAGTCAAAATTCAAACAAAAAACATACTATGATAATATGATGCATTGTCCTTGAAACTAATTGGTCCACACCAAGGGACTGCTTTTGAGCCTTGACCCAATTGGTGCTCGACCAGATGACGCCAAAAGGCATACAGCTCAAAGACAATGTACTATCAAAGTAATGAGGGCATCTACATCATTATACCTCCTTTGCCAGTACCAAAATATAATAATAGGGTTTTTCCCCTTTTTTCTGGCAACAAAACTGATCGAGCACCAATTGGGTCGAGGCTCAAAAGCCGTCCCTTGGTGTGGACCAATCAGTTTCAAGGACAATCCATCATATTATCATAGTATGTTTTTTGTTTGCATTGTGACTGCAGGTATTGTGGTTAATGCAGCAACATGAATCCTTGTAAAAAAAAGGTTTCAGTTTTGTTGCCAGAAAAAAAGGGGGAAAAACTTGGGTGATCTTCGGCGCCGGTCCATTGTTAACAGAACGTTTCCTCCCAGCTTTAAAATGTAACATCTTTCGTTTAATCATATACATGTATACACACACTATACAGGATTGAGTTCTATAAAGCAGCCACTCTGTGCTAAATACACACGCATGCATTTGTGATGGACAGGACTCTATTAAGAGTGCAAAAACAAATGCTCACACTTACTAATTACACAGTGCCTCTACCATTTACAGCCAGGGCCGTAATCATAGTACCAATTTTACAAGTAATCCTAATTACTCTATTGTTCCTGTGTTAATCCGGTTACCCTTACTAACTTACCAGATGCATGTCCTAGTAGTTACTCGAAAAATAATAACTTTACATTTTAGATGAGACACGGCATAGGGTGTGGCCTTCATCCAGTGGCTTTGTTGGCTGGATTCCTGGGCCGCCTGGCTGGCTTGCGCGGGGCCCAAGTGCGCGATGGTGATGCCACCTGCATCCCACAGCGTTGAGCCGCCCCCCCCCCCCCGCTCGGCCACCCTCCACCCCGGCCGTGCATCCCGCGCAAACGACGCGGGTTACGTTATCATAATATCATCTACTACATCAGACAAAAGTTTTGCTCGCTCCGCTGGCTGGCTGGCTGGTAGGAGAGAGGGGCAGAGGGGATGGGTGGACAGACGGACGCGTCAAAAGGACGAGCAAGCGACTACCTCTTTTAAAATCACGGCGCGACTCCGAAATAAATTAACTGAGGAATTGATGCCAGCAGGTTTGCTCGACGCTAGGCGAGGCAGCAGCTCATGCACTCGGATCACAAAACACAGCCACGGTTACAGCCAAGCGATGTCGTTTGCGAGCCTCAATCGCACCTCGTTACTTTTTTTTTTCTAAAGAGTAATCGCGAAAGCAATAAAGTGACGCGGCCCAGCGGGGTGTCTTTTAACCATCAACCATAACATACTACACGCAGCCTGCTTCACAGTAGACGCTTAACTACCGCTCACCCGATGCCGTTAAAAACCAGCAGGACGTAGCGCGTGTGTGACTTCAGCAGCAATTGGTTCAAGCGAGCCTGACTCTGCTGGTGTGAGAGTGAACGTTGAAACCGGTTCCGGAGTTTGCTTGCATCGATACCAACGCTCTCTTTGCTCTCACGCTCTCTTTGCTCCAATAGTCAAAGTAGCCATGCAGTGATGGTGGAGTGATTCACGGTGCCGTTATCTAATACGTCTTCTAAGACCTGTGTAAGTGTGTATGGATGGAGGGTGGTGGGGGCTGGGTGTGAAGTGTTCAAGGTCGCGTATTGAGGTATGCATAACAAAGACAAAGATTCCCTGCATCGCCTTAACAGACTGTTGGAGCAAGTGCTGTTATCGAGCACCTATGAAGGCCGGAACAGCATATGAGGGGCTGGGTGGCCAGCACCACGCCCGGCCGCCTTTGTCTCCCCAGTGGCAATATTTAAATACCGCTCCGGGTACTCATTTGAGGCCGAGTCGAGCTAGGGGAGGCCCATGACTGATTCAGATAATTGTCACGTGGTGTTGGCCATGAGCGGGAATTGAACTCGGGTCGCCGGGTTCGTAGCGCAACACGCTAACGTTGCTCGTTACACCTTGCCATACACGACGATAGACAAAAAAAAATCTATCAGAGAATTTCAGTTCTGTGCGAGTGTAGGTGCACGTGCTGTGCGCGCGTGTCTGTGCGCGTGTATGCGGGTACCAATTTGTGTGTAGGGATGTGTGCGCGTGTTTGTGCGTTACGCGCATGTGCTTGCGCGCGTGTCTTCACTGCCACTCCAACGTGACGGCCTCGGACAGTGGCACGGTGAGGTTCGACACGGACAACACCTGGGGGACACGGGGACAAAGTGAGCACACGAGACGAGACAATACAAGCCCTCACCCGAACCTCGCCACAGCCCTTGTACCCTCCCCTGGCCGAGCATTAATATTCACCGCAACTTTGTGTTAAAATGCGCCCCCCCCCCTCCTCCTTCCCCCGTCACCTGCCCCTTCCTGTGCCCCCCTCCCCCCTCGTGCCCCCCCGCCCCCCCGTGCCCCCCGTCACCTGCGTGCTGCTGGTGTAGGAGAAGGAAACGTCGCCTCCGTTGAGGCGTACGTGGTTGGGGCACCGGGGGACGCCCATCACGGAGACGGAGCCGAGCGGGGGCAGTGGAGTGCCGGGTGCGGCATGCAGCACGGTGGAGTGCAGCGTGCTCTACAAAGAGAAAGATCCCCTGTATAGCCTCAGCTGACTTTTGGGGCAAGTGCCGAGTCGATCGACTCGGGTGTCCGGATTTGTACCGCAGCGCGCTAACCGCTACACACGCATTTAGAAAGACAAAGATCCCCAGTATAGCCTTAACAGACTGTAGGGGCAAGTGCTGTTAGCAAGCACCCATGAAGGCCGGCACGGCACACGAGGGGGTGGGTGGCCATCACCACGACCGACCGCCTTTGTCTCCCCAGCGGCGATGTTTACTACACACCGCACCAGGTACTCATTTGAGGCCCGAGTCGTCCTAGTGGAAAGGCCCAGGACCGGTTCAGATAATCGTCACCGGCGTTAATTTTCATCGTGAGTGCGAATCGAACTTCGCCGGCTTCGTAGCGCGGCGCGTTAAGCGCTGCACTACCGCTCCCCACACATAGGTACATGCACCCACGTGTACACACAGGTATGCAAGCGCCCAATCCACCAACGGCTGCTCCCCTGCCTGACCTGCGTAGCCTTGAATTTGAGGGCCCAGTATCGGCCGCTCTGCAGGGGCCCTGGGGTTTCCCCGTCATCCCAGAAGAGGTCCCCTTGGGCCCCCTCCTCTTCCTCCTCCTCTTCCCCTCCGCCATCGTCACCCTTGCCGGACTCCGGTGGCCGTAACGCAGCCACGATGCCCAGGGGATTCCCGCGACTCGCGTTGCTCGTCGTGTCGGGGACCTGAGGGCAGACAGGAGGGGAGCAAGGGAGCGTGGCGTGGGGGGGGGGGGTGGGCGGGGACCCCGGGGGGGGGGGGGTGGGGATGCGGGGAAATGTGGGAACGCGTGAGAGCACAGGAAGATGAGCGAAGATGCGAGGAAACGCAGGGAGATAGCGACGGAGCCATGAGGGGACATGAGAGGGAGACGAGTGGATTAGAGACGCGGTTCGGTTCATCGCGGCCGCCTCTGCCCGCGTGGAGAACCTCCCTGGGATCCTACGGGGGGGGGGCAGGGGTGGCGGGGGGGGTGGGGGGGGGGGGTGTAGGAGAAGTGCCACCGCGCTCACCTGTTTGGGCACGATGAAGCCGGCGCGCAGGTGCAGGTTGATTTTGTCGAGCGGAGCGTCGAGGGTGAAGTTCTCCCCTTTGCTCCGGATCGCCGATCCCTGGGGGAAGTAGAGAGAGGGGGAGGGGGGTGCCCAGACTGAACTCGCTAACCTCGAGAAGAATCCACTTACTCGCGTGGATTCTTCTGTGTCGCTTCCCAACATTGATGAGCACTCGATTGTTTGGGACTAGGCCACGTAATTATCCGATTAAATATAATCATTCTAATGTATATTAGAATGATTATATTTAATCGTCATAGAGCGCCTTCACTCAAGTCGCTCTATGACGTAGCTTACAAAACGATGACACAGAATGGAATTATGTCGATGGCAGGGGCGGTGCTACAGGGATTGAGGAATGAGCGACAGCGATAGAGGGGTACTTAGGGGTCACTCCTTCCCGTCCCGAGTGGAAGGAGTGGAAGGAGTGGAGGAACGAAGGGAGGGAAGAGGAAGAGAATGGGCAACAGAGAAGAGGGGAGGATTGAAGAAGCTCCGCCACCAGACTGGTCCAAATTAAATTGTCACGTGGTGCACAAGGGATTCACTGTGCCAATTAATATTGTTTCAGTTCACCGGTAAGTTGAAGAAGAATTCTCACAACCAAATTTAGCCAAAGGATAATCATTTTGATAGCGGCAGAAGGGGTCCCATAGATACATTTAGCTCAATTAGGGATACGCGATGGCTCAATTACGGATGCGCAATATATCGCTTGAAACTGCGTTAAGCATCTTTAGGACAAGTCACAATATAAATCCAGGAAGTGAGAATTCTGAAGAATTCTGACCTCTGTATCATGATGAATCTCAGTGTTGGGTGGAGGTTTTCAAATTTGGTCGGATGTTAACTACCTTTTCTCGTATACAGGAGGTCGTGGGTTCGATGCCGACCCTGACGCCTGCATATTTGGAGTTTGCGTGTTTTACCCGTAGTCGTGTGGATTTTATCCGGGAAATCCGGTTATTCCACCAACATTTAGAACATATTTTTAGAATACTATAAATTTCCACGTGATATAAGCCACTTCACTGAGCTATCATTTGTGGCCAGGTCGCTTCTGAAAGAGGAGCTATATAGATAGCTCAGTGGGCCTTACCGAGTAAAAAAAAAATGTTTTAGTTTAATATTGACTGTAAAGAAAAACCTTCATGTCAAGCTATCCAATCCAGCGGCTCCGGTTACGATAAACGCTTTAAACCATAGTTGGAAAGCGATTAAATGAACTTGGGGCCACGGGTGGAGAGATCATAATGGCCAAGTGACAGAACGCCAGGCCGGCCACTGCTGAGCAGGCGCGTAACAGAATTCCGACTTGCATCAGAATGAGATGTTCAGAATGAATGAAGTGTATTTCCCACTGAGTAAAGCCCGTCGAGCTAAGAAAGCTCTTTGTCAAGGGTGATTCGGCCGGCAGACAACACAAAGCAATAAAAGATTAAAAAATATATATTTATAAAATAAACAATTTTAACACGTAGGCTTTCGCGACCAATATCCATAAGAGGTATTTTTCGGGTTAGATCGCGTAAATATATAAATGTGTCATTAAACCCGCCACCACCCGACACAGACAATTAGTAAGGTTTGTCACGTGAACGAAACGTGCCAATTAGTTACTAGTTCAGTAGACCGGTCATTATCAGAGTAAACTCGAATGGTCATGTTGTGGATTTATATTTACGTGATCTTACCCAAAAAAACCCTCTATTATGCAAGATAAATTACGTTGTAAAATTACATCCACACTTAAACTTTAGTGATTCAATAGAGTTAGTTTGAATGAGGACAGAGATGACAGAATGGAGATGCCAATAGGCAAAAGTTCTGCGGTGGTTCCAAAACCTGGGAGCAGCCATGTTAAATGCTCTTGCTCAAAATTACGTGTGAAATCTGGGACCTATTAATAGGATTAATAGGATCTGCGTCGCAGATTATTAGGACTGTCCAATGGCAAGAACAGACCTAACGTGGAGCACCTCCCAGCATGCACCGGGGGGGTGCGGGGGCGATGTGGCCGGAGCGTACCGCTGGGTGTCCGTAGTGCGGTGCGGCGGTGCAGCATACCGTGTAGAAGTCGTACCACGTGCCGGGCGGAAGGTAGGCCTGCACGGACCGCGCGCCTTCCTCCAGCGCCGGCGAGACAAGGAGCGCCGGCCCCCACAGCAGCTGCCGGTCGATGGCGTACGCCTGCTCGTCGTGCGGAAACCTGAGCGCACACGCGCGTGCGAGCTACGTGAGCAACGCTGATCGTGACGAGTCGTTGGCTGACGTTGGCTTTGCATGAAGGAACTAGATCAGCAGACAGTGTCTCCTTCGCATACAAGCGTCCCTCCACGTATATTGTTTCACGCATAGGCCCGGCAGACTCCCATGAGCGCATAATTTCAGCAGCGATGGTTGAACGAAAAGCAAAACTCTGGACCGGTTTCGGCATCCAGTGTCTCGATCGACGAGCGTTTTGTGTAAACGAGTCGGCGTCCCAGTTTGGTTCTGCTGTTGGAGTGCGGTTTGTGGAGTCTGTAAATGATGACCCATCCCGACACGGGAGACGCTCGTATCGTCCGATGCAGAGCGCCGGTCAACCCACCTCAACCCGAACAGCACGGTCATCTCAGCCGACAGGGAGGAGCCGTCGGTCTCACCCCACACAGAACCCATCTCATCCCGACACCGGATTAAAATAAAACACTCGTCGTTGTCACGTGATACATTCTTTCCAAGTCAAATGCTCCTGTTAGGAAAGGACACGAACACTAAAGTGAACAAATGAGTGGAAGAGGAGAGGTAGGGGAGCAGGGAGGCAGGGAGGGAGGGAGAGACATGGAGAGAGGAAATTTGGACATGGGAAGAGAAGCGAGAGGGATGGGAGCGAGAGAGAGGTAATGAGGAGGGAAGCAGTGAGTGAGACGGGAGGATGTGGACAAGGGTCATGATAAAGGTTTTTGTTTGTTTAGAATTGCGTAAAACTAAATGTATCATTAAGGGTGGAAGGATGGTGGATGGTGAGACGGAGTGAGGGAGGAAAATGGGGAATAAGGGAGTAAGGAGGGAGTGAGTAAGTAGTGAGTTGAGAATATGAGAGAGTAATTGGGAGCGTTGAACTTCTTTCGCACCGTACATAGCCAACCGTGCTAATCAGAGGAGTGAAGCTGTGAGGGAGGACGTGAGGCAGGTAGGTAAGGAGGGAGGAGTGAGGAGAGAAGGGGGTGATGGGAGGGAGGGGGAGGGAGGCCCAGGGACCCCGTCTCACTCGAAGAAGAGAGGCCGTGCCACGGTGCTTCCGCTCTGGTGAGCGCCCATGAAGAGCGAGTAAAGCAGCGGCAGCAGCGAGTAGCGCGTGAGTAGCGCGCGCCGCATCGCAGCCTGAGCAGCGGCCGAGAACACCGTGGGGTCCTGGGGCTACACACGCAACACACACACACGCAACGCACACACACACAGTATACACACGTAACGCACACACACACACAATGTATACACACGCACGCAACGCACACACACAGTATACACACGTAACGCACACACACACACACACAATGTATACACACGCACACACACACGCTACGCACACACACACAATGTATACACACGTAACGCACACACACACACAATATATACACACGTAACGCACACACACACACAAAATGTATACACACGTTTAACGCACACACACAAAATGTATACACACGTAACGCACACACACACACAAAATGTATACACACGTAACGCACACACACACACAAAATGTATACACACGTAACGCACACACACACATGCACACAATGTATACACACGCAACGCACACACACACATGCACACAATGTATACACACGTAACGCACACACACACACAATGTATACACACGTAATGCACACACACACACACACAATGTATACACACGTAACGCACAAACACACACACAATGTATACACACGTAACACACACACGCACAAAATGTATACACACGTAACGCACACACGCGCGTGCACGCAACAAAGACATAAATGCACACACACATGCATTAGTACACAGGTGCGCACACACACACATACAAAACATCCATAAGTACAAAGGTGCGCACACACACACACAGCAGGTACACAGGTGTGCACACACACACAACGCCCGCACACACACGCATGCGTACACAGGTGCGTACACGCGTGCGCTGAAGCACACACGCGTACGAAGAAACAAAACAGCACTTTCCCCAAGAGTAAGTCGAAGGCTATACGGGGAATCTTTGTCTTTGGTGTGCGAGTCTCACGGCGGCGCCGATGGTGTTGTGGTTGCGGGAGAATGGGTAGAAGGCTCCGAGCTGCATCCACCGCACGCACAGCTCCTCGTTGGTGTCGCCATTAAAGCCACAGATGTCGGCTCCGACCAGCGGCACGCCGAAGAGGTTGAAGTTCAGGACGCCTGGGAAGAGGGGAGGGGTGCAACAGCAGCACCAGCAGCAGCCGCCATTCGCCACTAAGCGGCGGTGACGTCACCACGGGGCTCGTGCACCAGGCTAGGTGCAATTTGAGGCCACGTGAAGTATCGAAGGCTCGCCCGCTGGCAGGAGGTCACGGGACAGGCCCAAGTGCCATGCGTTGACTGTAACCGTTCTTACCCGCCCCGACTGGACATCTGTGAAAAAAAAGCTTTGTATTTCTTTGGATTCCACCAGTAGCAATAAATATTCCGATTCTGATTCTGACGAGGAGATGTACGCACGTACACACAAAGGCAAACGTCCCCCGTATAACCTTAACAGACTGCTGGGGCAAGTGCTGTTAGCGAGCACCTAGGGGAGGCCCAGGGCCGTTTCAGATCATCGTCACCGGTGTTGGCCATGAGCAGGAATTGAACCCGCGTCGCCGGGTTCGGAGCGCATTGCGCGCCGTGCCGGCCTTCATGGGTGCTGCTCGCTCAACAGCACTTGCCCCAACAGTATGTTAAGGCTACACGGGGGATCTTTGTGTGCGTGTGTGCGTGCGCGTGGGCCCTACCGGCTATCGAGCAGGCCAGGTCCTTCCACGTGCTGCGGTTGTCACCGAGCCAGTGACCAGCATAGTGGCCGTGACTCGGGAAGGTGGAGCGGGAGATGATCAGCGGCCTCCTGCCCCTGAGCTCCACCATCGCACTCCCCGTCGCACACAAAATCAACAACCGCACGTTAACCGAGAGCCACCGGCACCGGTAACCACGAGCGTCGCTCGTGAATAGACGTGCTGCCCGCCACAGCAATGTGGAATTTTCACCACTGGCTCTGCGGTGCTGTAAGCAGGAGATGAGCACCGCCCTCTGTGCTCGTTTGGCTTTGAGGAGCGAGTCGACCCTTCAAGCCTTCGGCTGCGGGCAGTGCGGGCCGAGCAGAGGGTGGACGAGCGAGTCTGTATGTACGTTGAACTTCTTTCGCGCACCGTACGTAGCCAACCGTGCTAATCGGAGGTACGGGGGAAGGACAACAAACTAAACACAAAAAGCAGTTCTAAAGGAATGAGTTTTCAATTTAGACTGAAAAAGTGCATAGCCCCAGTGGCTTCCTAATATCGGAAGGAAGAGCGTTCCAAACGGCCGCAGAGGTGCATCTGAAAGTGCGCGACGTGGTGACTGTCTTTGTTCGATGGTTAGCCAAAAGCCGCTGCAAGGGTAACCTGAGTACTGCGCGATGGTTTATGCTCCTTGACGAGATCAGAAAGTAATAATAAGGTTTTTCCCCCTTTTTTCTGGCAACAAAACTGAAACCTTTTTTACGAGGATTCATGTTACTGCATTAACCACAATACTTTCAGTCAAAATGCGAACAAAAAACACACTCTGATAATATATGCATTGTCCTTGAAACTGATCGGTACACACCAAGGGACGGCTTTCTTTAGAGCCTCGTCTCAATTGGTGCTAGACCAGATGACGCCAAAAGGCGTACAGCTCAAAGACAATGCACTATCAAAGTAATGAGGGCTCGGGGTAAGCATCTACATCATTGGATCTCCTTTGCCAGTACCAAAAAAGGGGGAAAACCCTATTATTATATTTCGGTACTGGCAAAGGAGGTCCAATGATGAAGATCAGCAAGGTATTGTGGTTCATTTGTGGCAAACACTCTTGTGTGTAATGAGCGGGAGCTTGTAATGCAGTCGGACACCGAGAGGGCCAGGTGATCCCGGCTGCCCAGGTGAGTGCAGGTGAGCTACCTGTAGGAGACCATGGCCTCGGTCAGCCCGTATAGGTTGTGCAGGTTGTAGTGGGAGGAGATGGACTGCCGCGCAGACGCGCAGATCGTCTTTGCCTTCAGAGAGTCTCCATGCACGGCTGAAACACAGATAGATATACCGACACACACACACTGTTTTGTGTATATTGTTTTTCGATATATTGAGATGGAAGACGATCTCATCTGTAGCCTACGTAGGCTACCGGGGCAATGAGCGAGTGCGTCTGGAATCCAGCATGGCGTACGATAGCCGACGTCTATGAGCATGTGTGCGTGTGCGCTATTGTCTGTGGGGAGTGGTAGTGTAGCACTGCACTATGAACCCGGCGACCCGAGTTTGATTCCCGCTCACGGCCACCAACACCAGTGAACCGGTCCTGGGCCTCTGCCCTGAGGTCGATTCAGCCTCAAATGAGTACCTGGTGTGGTGTGTAAACATTGGCACTGGAGAGACAAAGGCGGTCGGGCATGGCGCTGGCCACCCACCCCCTCGTGTGCCGTGCAGGCCTTCATAGGTGCTACTCGCTAACAGCACTTGCCCCAAAATACTTTTAAGGCTATACAGGGGATGTTTGTGTGTGTACGTGTGTAGGTATGTGGGTGTGTACGTGTGTAGGTGTGTGTGTGTAGGTGTGTGTGCGTGTGTAGGTGTGTGTAGGTGTGTGTGTGTAGGTGTGTGTGTGTGTAGGTGTGTGCGTGTGTAGGTGTGTGTGCGTGTGTAGGTGTGTGTGTGTGTAGGTGTGTGGGTGTGTACGTGTGTAGGTGTGTGTGTGTGTACGTGTGTAGGTGTGAGTGCGTGTACGTGTGTAGGTGTGTAGGTGTGTGTGTGTATGTGTGTACGTGTGTAGGTGTGTGCGTGCGTACCAGGAGTGTAGGGAGGGTTCTCCAGCTCGTTATTGGGACACCCGTCCAGCGAGCCGTCCACAAAGTTAGATGGCTCATTCATGTCCTGCGCGAGGAGGGGAGAGCGGCGATGGGGCGAGGGGCGATGGGAACAATGGCGGAGCCAGGATTTTCAGGTGGGGGGGGGGGGGGGGGCAACCCCTCCAGCAATTAAAAATGATAGAAGTTGTTAGTTAGTAAGGACTTGTCCCTTGCTTTTTATTCGACGCGTGTGCGGCGCAGCCATCGATCGAGGGTCGAATTCGAACCGTGTTGTGTGATCGGCATCGCGCTCGCTGAAGGTGTTGATGCCTTCAGGGAAGTCGTGGACTGTTTACGCAACTGCGCACAATCCTGTGAGTCACTTATAACTGCTTTGCCGTTACTTATTGCCAATTATGGACTCAGACTATTGTCCTATCATCTCATAGAGTCCCTGGCACATCATAATATGCTACACAGTGGCAGTAGGGGTCGCAAAATGCCGATTTATTACTAATAAACCCCAATGATACAATCGAAATTAGGGATTTCGATCGGATCATTGGGGGGGGGCACGTGCCACCCCCCCCCAAAGGGGAGAGAGTGATACAGTGACGAGGTGGCATACGCTCATTTATTTGTTCCACCATGTGTGTGCACGTAGTAGCGCATCGTATATTGGCAAACTTTATCATTAAATTATTTATGGGGAAATAGTTTTCTCTTAACGCTGCACTTTTCAGGAATATATCTACCGTGTTAAAAGAGGACTTACTGTACTTCTTATGGGAGATTGATTTGAATTTGTATTGACAGATAATAATTACTGTTTAATTGAATGGTTAATCGATGGCTAATGAGTCATCGGTCGATAAGATTGGCCCCCAGCATAGAAATTTGGAATATCCACGGCTGGCTTTCGAACGCCGATGGAAACGCGTGCTTCCGCATTGCTCATACGAGTCGGCAAGGCACTGCGATTGAGTGTTACGGCTGAGTGGACCAGGGGGAGGGATAAGCGCGCACGTACAATCCACAGCCCGTCGAAGGGCACGAGGTCGTGCAGGGACTTGAGGTTCTCCAACCACCAGCGATGCGTCGCACGGTTCGTAAAGTCCGGGAACGCCGTCTCACCCGGCCACACCTGAAACACAACGGGACACACACGGATGCAGAACGATACACACTCAGATGCACACTGATATACATTCCGATATACATTGCTACACGCAGAGACACACACTCAAGATACGCACTGATACACACCGATACAAATTCATACACACACTCAGATAAACATTGGTACATGCGGAGACACAGTCTCTGATATTCATTGATACACACACAAACACATTGATACACACACTGACACACTGATGTAAACTGTTACTCAAAAAGACACATTGATACACAACAATACAAGGCAGACACACACTCGTACACAGCAGACACACGTTAATACACATGCCAATAGACACTGATACACACGCTGATACACCAGAGACACACCGACACACAGCAGACACACACCGATTACACAACGCCTTAATACCACTTTTCTGCCCCCCCCCCCCGTCACAGCTCCCGTTCACATTTCCCCACACCTGCCCAGCCCACACCTCCCTGCACGCGCGCCTCCACGCACGCACGCATGCGCACCTCCATGCACGCATTCCTCCCTGCACGCACACCTCTCCACACACACACTTGCATGCACATCCTCCCCACATGCACGCACGCGCACCTCTATGCACGCAATCCTCCCCGCACGCACACCTCCCCGCACGCACGCACACCTCTCCACACACACACACGCACGCACACCTCCCTACATGCACGCACAAGCACCTCCATGCACGCACTCCTCCCCACACACACACACGCATGCACACGTCCCCACACACACGCACGCACACCTCCCCACACACACACACGCACGCACACCTCCCCGCACGCACGCACGTAAGCACCTTTCCAATGAGAGGAGCCGTGCCGTCGGTGTTGTTGATGAAGAGGCCGCGCGCGAGCGCGGCGTCGAACGTTGGGTACGTGCCACGCGGCTGGGAGCTGCTCACCCCTGGGTCCTGCGTGCACGCGGGCGTACACTTTCAGGTGCGCTTCTGCGGCCGTCTGGAACGCTCTTCCTTCTGATATTTGGGAGCCGCTGGAGCTACGCACTTTTAAATAATTTAGATGGCAATCTCATTTCTTTAGAGCTGATTTTTATGTTTGGTTTGTTGTCCTTCCCCCACACCTCCGATTTGCACGGTTGGCTACATACAGTGGCGAGAAAGAAGTTCAGCATACATATGTACGTACACACGCGACGTGCGTACGCATCGAGACGTCGCCGTGGCCAGAGCCCCCCGATGCCACCGCCGCACCGCACATCCAACGCCGTCGATCCTTCCCGCAGACCCTGCAGCTGCTGCACTGGAGACGCTGCTCAGCGTCTCCGACCCGGGTATCAACAATCCCCTGGGCATCCTCCCTGAGGTCGACTCAGCCTCAAATGAGTACCCGCTGCGGTGTGTAAACATCGCCATTGGGGAGACAAAGGCGGTCAGGCGCAGTGTTGGCCACCCACCCGCTATGTGCCGTGCCGGCCTTGCCCAAAAAAGTCTGCTAAGGCTATGGGGGGGATCTTTGTTTGTGTATGTCCACCTCTAATCCAGCCCAGGGGTTTCTTGATCCCGGATCCCCATGTCTCCGGATTTCTCATGGTGCAAGCTCGAACACATACGTGTGCACGCGTGTGCGTTCGTGCATATCATGCGCACACGCGCGTGCACCCACACATACCAAGATGACAACGTATTTCTGGCCGTGCGCGTGCAGGTCTTGCACCATGGCCGGGAGGCTCGCGAAGGCCTTCGTGTCGTACGTGAACACGAGCCGCTTGTGCATGTACTCGATATCGTTCCACTGTGCATCCTGCAACAACACCACGTGACCCGTACAATAACGATAACAACAACAATGTCCCCTCTGGATCTATACAAGGCCTTCTGAGCCTTGAATACAAAATAATGATGATGATCGTGCAGGGATCAGCAACTTGTGGCTCCACAGCCACATGCGGCCCATCAAGAGATCTCTTTAAGGGGCGCCAAGGTGGCGAGATGTTAACTACCTCGCTTGGTATATAGCAGGTCGTCGGTTAGATTCCGACCCCGACAAGTGTATATTTGGAGTTTGCATGTTCTCACCGTAGTCCTCCGGTTTTTCCCTCCACATTTAGAAACATACGTTTAGAGTATTTAGCTGCAATAAACTTCCACATGATAAGCCACTTTGCTGAGCTATCATTTGTGGTCAGGTCGCTTCTGAAAAAGAGCTATATAGCCTTACCTGGAAAAATAATAGTTTTAGTTTAATATCAGCTATAAAGAAAATCCTTAATGCAAAGCTATCCAATCAAGTGGCTCCAGTTACGATCAACACTTTCAACCTCAGTTGGAAAGCGATGAAGTTTAGAGTCGACAGCATGGGTGGCTGGGGGTCGGCAGCTCCAGACTGTCGGGGCAGCAGAGGAGAATCTTCTTATTCAGTGGATGGCAGAGCAGTGCCGGATTATCCTAGTACCACAAGTAGCAAATGCTACGGCCCCCGCAACTTTGAAGGTTCCCCGCGCTAAATCCTTTCAAGCTATCAATTCAGGTTCAGTGATTCTGCACTTGCTCTATTACTATAGTACTATACTATAGTACTATGAACGACTGGGTGATTAAGATTAGCGATCTGTCATATTACCTGGCTGTATAGCAATACAATTACTTTACTATGCAAGTTAAAAATGTGTTTTTTTTAATTCATGTTTTTTTTTATTTAGGGCCCCTTTATAACATATTCTACAGGCCCCGCACTACCTAAATCCGGCACTGTGGCAGAGCTGTGACGATTTGCGCTTCCGTCGTGAACCCCACACGCACGAACCCGCTCGCGACGATTCGGGCTCACGGTTCATTTTAACAATCGGTTGGTTCAGTTCGAGAATCAACTGGCAATGGCACCTTGCTGGAGGAGGTGGGGGCAGGGGGGTGCGTGGTGCGAGAGGGACGATAGAGGGGAGAGGAAGGCGAGGGAGGCAGAGGGAAGGGTGGCGGCCCGACCTGCGGGATCCCTGCCGCCCTCATGGCGCGCACGGTGCTCATGGTGCCGTCGCTGCTGTTGTAGCCCCAGCGGCAGAGGTGGAAACCCAGGGCCCAGTACGGGGGCAAGGCCGGTCGCCCTGCAGGCACGCGCACGCACGCAAGCAAGCACAGACAAAGATCCCCCATACGGCGAGCCCTCACTTAGCGTGCGGTGTTTATACTATAACGGGTTTTCGCTACAACGCGGTTCTTCCGTTCGGAATGTGCGTCCTGTTATAACGCCGAACGGGCCCCGTTATAACGTGGTTGCTCAGCGGTCGATGACAGGCCACTTTCTTGAGCCGAGGCCTAGTGGTACAGTGATACAGAACGCGGAAAAATACATTAAATGCGGCGGCGTACTCTCAGTTATTTGTCCCGCCATATTTCTGCGTGTGTGCATACATCGCATCTCGCCAAACTTTATCATTACATTATTAGTGGGGAAATTGTTTTCGCTTCCCGTATTTTTCGCTTCACGTGGCACTTCTTAGGAATGTATATACCGTGTCACATGGGGTCAAGTGCTGTTAGTGAGTAGCACCTGTGAAGGCCGGCACGGCACACGAGGAGGTGGTCGGCCAGCACCACGCCCGGCCGCCTTTGTCTCCCTCGTGAGGATGTTTACACACAACACCAGATACTCGCACAGGCACGGACGCTCACGCATACACGCTTGCGTGTACAAAATGTACGCACACACAGAGACACACGCACGCTCATGCGTGTTCACACGCACACGTACGCACGAAACCCAAGACAAATATCCCCCTATAGCCTTAACAGGCCGTCCACCAGCGCACGAGGGGCTTGTTGCGCGGCCTGAACGGTTTGACCGCCACAGTCTTGCGCGGGCTACACGGGGTAGGGGAGGGGGGACCGTTGTCTTTGAATCGTGACTTTGCGAGTGAGTGCACGCGCTGCTGACCTACGACCTCGGTGTACTGCTGTACGACGGCGTCGGGGGTGGGGCCGAGCAACACGTAGAGGTCGAGGATCCCTCCGATCGTCCGCCACGTCACGGCCGGCGCCGGCTGCAGCACCACATCTACACGGCGGCGACGTCAACAAAAATAACGGCAGCCGCCATTCGTCACCAAGTGGCGGTGACGTCACCATGGCGCCTGTACCAAGGCAGGTGCACCTTGAGGCCATGTGAAGTGTCGAGACAGACCCAGGTGCCAAGGGTTGACTGAGATGATTGGCAGATGCATCAGCTGTGCTCCCCTACTGTGCCAACCTGCTGCATTTTAGCCACCCGGCGCCCCGGTCGTTGTTGCGAGCGTCGCTCCTCCGCCCTCCGTTGTTGCTGAAGGGCGAATGCCTACAACTGCCCAGTAGCAGCGTCCTTCACGAGCCTCCTTCATAGAGGCCGATATTGACACCGCTGGTACCGGTCATCGGCAAGTCCACCAAGATCTGTATCCTCTTGTACGACATTACTCCATCTCTCCTCTAGCCCATGGCGTGCTCATTTAGCAACCTCTATCCGGCCGAACAAAAGCTGTTCGAGCATGCGGTGGCTGGGCATGCGGGCTACGTGACCCGGCGGCAACATCACCTGTGTCATCACCGATATCGCCACGGCCGCCACAACTGACGCAAGGGGTTGTGGCTATCGTCAACAGCGCTATCACCAATCGCTGCCACCTCACCATCCTTACCAACAGCATCCTCACCGCTATTAGCACCACAAACTCAACCACTACCACCGCCGCCTCTATTACCATCAAAAACATCACAACGATCATCATCATCATCATCGCTATCACAGCCACAACCACCTTCTGCATCATCACCACCACCATTACTATAATTATTAACACAACCACCACCACCATGACCCACCAAACCACTTTTACTACGAACAAAGACAAAAGATAAAGATCCCCCATATAGCCTTAATAGTGCTGTTGTATGTATGTTGAAATTTTTTTGCACCGTACGTAGCCAACCGTGCTAATCGGAGAAGCGGGGATAGGACAACAAATTATATACAAAAAACAGTTCTAAAGAAATAAGCTTTCAATCGAAGTGATTTAAAAGGGCATAGCTCCAGTGGCTTTCTAATATCTGAAGAGCGTTCCAGATGGCCATAGAAGCGCGTGACCGCGCCCGCGTGCATGCAGTTTTAAAGAAATTAGTTTTCAATCCTCACCATCAATAACAGCAACAACAAAACCGGCATTCGCCACTAAGTGGCTGTGATGTCGTCACGGTGCTTGTGCCAGACTATGTGCACTTTAAGGCCACGTGAAGTGTTGAACGCCTGCTGTCAGGAGATGATGGGTAAGACCCAAGTGCCATGAGTTGGCTGAGATGACTGGTCGATGCACCGCCTGTGCCCCCTACTGTGCCAACTTGCTGTGTTTTAGCCGACCGGCGCTCCGCTCCAACACTACCACCATCGTCAAGATCACCACTACCATCATCACCACCATCGCCACCACCGCCAGCACCGCCACCACCACTGCCACCATGCATTCTCCCCAGGATGGCCTCTCACCCATGGCGTTGCTGTTGAGCAGGAAGACTCCGTGTGCCGCTCCACCGGCCTCCAGGGCCAGGTAGACTGGATGGGCACCGTACAGGTTTGTCGACTCCTACAGGCAGCAGCAGCACACAGACGGACAACCGGCAACAGTGAGCAATTAGTCACTTAGCAGCTCAATCGAATTAAAGTGTAACTGATAAAACATTTTGCGTGATTGCTTACTCAGGCCGAAGGAAGCGTGATGGCCACTCCCAACATCTTTGAGTATTTGGCTGCTATAAACCCCCAAAATTTAGAGTATTAGGATGCTATAAATTTCCACATGATGAGCCACTTTGCTGATCTATCATCTGTGGCCAGGTGGTTTCTGAAAACGAGCTATATAGCTCAATGGACCTTACCTGATCAAATAAAAATAGTTTAGTTTTTTTTTAACATCCTGCCTCGTGAAGGCAGCACACCTCCGACAAAGCCGCACCCGGCATGACACGGCCAATGACGTCACCAAGCCCGGCCATCACCTCCAGTCCAGCGGCACGCGCGGGAATGGGTGATGTTGGTATAATCCCACTAGTCGGGTAATCGAACTGATATAATCATTCGTAGAGGAATCGATACAAAAATCGGATTGCAACCCAGCTCATCACTCAAGGGACAGATCAAATTAGTGTCCTTATTGCGGGGCAGTTCAACGGTGGTTTGTCCTGCGGATAGACTGACCCCAGCTATCGGAATGTGGAATTTCTACCACTGGCCGAGAGACACCAATGGAGATGAGCACCATTACTTGCTTGCCTGGGCACTGACAAACTTGGACTTACAGCAAATGGATTTACATCATAATTTAGTACGACCAATGTTTAAACAGTCATTTATAAACCCTGGCGAGATGATGGGCAGGGATGACCTCTGAACACCTGGTTATAAACAGATATCATTCCTTAATGTAATAATTGACTGATGGACTTCCTGATTAAATTATTTACCTATTCAATTATTCATTCATCAACTGATTGAACTACTAAGTGACAGATTAAATGACTATCCAACTGACGAGCAGATCGAATGACTGATTGACTAACTGAATGACTGAATAACTGACTCCCAACTGAATTGAATTATAAACTAACCAACTAATTGAACGTCCAACTGCCTGAATATTTATTCAACCAATTGAATGATCCCACTGGGATTTTTTGCACACAGCGTTGGTGTACGGTGCTTTTTGTCAGGAATATTTTGTAGTTTTTTTATTGGCTTTTCTGTTTGCACAGTCACATAGTCACTTTAAGATGTTTTTCTTGTTCGTGTTTTTTGTTTGTTGTGGTTGCACCCGATTCAAGAGCCGTATGGCTCACAGGGCTATACCAAAATAAATGAAACTATGGAACTATGTCGGTGGAGATGGCCAATTGGAAGCGTGCCGGTGCTTATCACAGCAGCGGCTTTTTGAAAAAAAAAACTGATTGACGGAAAAGGTCCACGGACCAACTAGGCCAGGGGTCGGCAGGGGTCGCCAGGGGTCGACAACCTGCGCCTCCGGAGCCGCATATACGGCTCTTTGAGGACTGTTTGGTGATGTCATTTATTAAGGACCCACCCTTTCGTATTGACGTGCATCGCGGCTCTTGAAATAGACATTTTTTTTCACTAAATATTTATTTATACTGGAGGAATCCGATGAGCTATGAAGCTCTTTTTTAATAAATGTCTAGTAGGGGCACGGGGGTCAGAACGGTTACAATGACAAACAATACAAAAACACGCTAGGTGTGCAAAGTATAGAATTCGGAACAACAACAAAAAAACCGCCTCATCATTATTTCGGTTTGCCGACCCCTGGGCTGTGCCTGTCGATCTTTCCGTTCGACAGGCCGCTCCCCTGCCCTGACTGACCGTCGGGGGGTTGTCCCGTGCCCAGAACGACAGCCGGTTCCAGTTCACGTCTTGGCGGAGGCCGGCGCGGTGCTCCCCGAGCCCGTAGATCTGCGTCGTGGGCAGCCGCGTCGACAGGGATAGGAACTGGTCGGCAAACACGAGCGGCGCCACCGTGGTGTTGATCCTGGAGGAGAGGGAGACAGAACGGGTTTCGCTCATGTGTGTCCTTGTGTGTACGCAAGGGGCACAGGTGTGGTGCATCGATCCAGTCATCTCAGTCAGTCGACCCGTGGCACCTGGGTCTGCCCCGTGGCCTTCCGCCAGCAGGTGTTAGACACTTCACGTGGCCTCAAGGTGCACATGGCCTGGCACAAGCGTCGTGGTGACGTCACCGCCACTTAGTGGCGAATGGCGGTTGTTGTACGCAAGTACGTATGTTGAACTTATTATATACCGTACGTAGCTGACCGTGCTAATCGGAGGTGCGGGGGGTGGTGCCTATTTCTGTTGGCGGCCCAGCCCTGAACTGCTTTCAGGAAATTGTACATTCCTATGACAGGGGTCAGGCTCTCCACAAGACGGCTGGTCAGAGCGGTGGTACTCATTAAATTGACAAGGTACGGATGGTAGGCCGAGTCAACCCAGCACTGGTATTTGAACTTGTGACCTGCAGTGTGTGTGTGTGTGAGAACATCCAGTGTGTACATTAGCCTGTGTGCGCAAGTGTGTGTGAGTAAGCATGTACGTGTGAAAAACTGCGCTTCTGAAAGCTTGGGTATGTATGTGTGTGTGTATGTGTGTGTATGTAGCGGTTAGCGCAATGTGCTACGAACCCGCCGACCCAAGTTTGATTCTCGCTTAGGCAACACCAGTGACAATTATCTGAACAGGTTCTGGGCCTACCCTAGGTCGACTCAGCCTCAAATGAGTACCTGGTACAGTGTGACTGGGGAGACAAAGGTGGATGGGCGCGGTGCTGGACACCCACCCCCTCGTGTGCCGTGCCGGCCTTCATAGGTGCTACTCACTAACAGCACTTGCCCTAACAGTCTGTTAAGGCTATAGGGGGGATATTTGTCTCTGTATGTACATATCCTTTTATGTTAGAGTGAGTAAGCACGTGGACCCCCCTAATGGAACATCTTCGCCAGTTAGAAACATTTAGGCTGGCCTGCCTACGATCCATCCTGGGTTTAACCAGGCTGGATTGTGTGAGGAGCTCACATATCCTTTAATGATCTGGGCAGGGTCCCATCGGTGAGCTCCTCCGGCAGGCAAGGCTGCGTTGGCTGGGTCATGTAGCCCGCATGCCCAGCCACCGCATGCCGAAACGGCTTTTGTTCGGCCGGATCGAGGGGGCTAAACGGGCGCGGCACGGGCTAGAGAAGAGATGGAGTGATGTGGTACAGGAGGACGTGGAGCTGAGTGGACTTGCCGATGACTGGTACCAGCGGTGTCAAGATCGGCCTCTGTGGAGGAGGCTCGTGAAGGACGCTACTGGGCAGTTGGAGGCAGTCGCCCTCCAACAACAACGGAGGGCGGAGGAGCGACGCTCACAACAACGAGCGTAGCGCCGGGTGGCTAAAGCACAGCAGATTGGCACAGAAGGGGGCACAGGTGGTGCACCAGCCAGTCATCTCAGTCAGTCGACCCGTGGCACCTGGGTCTGCCCCGTGACCTCCTGCCAGCGGGCGTTCGACACTTCACATGGCCTCAAGGTGCACATGGCCTGGCACAAGCGTCGCGGTGACATCACCGCCACTTAGTGGCGAATGGCGGTTGTTGTTGTATTGGGATGCATGTATGTATTATAAGGGTGTGTGCACATGCCAATGTGTCTTAAAAAGGAAACATTAAAAAATCTTCCTGCTCTGATATATCGGACTCGTGGATGGCGACGAAAGAGATGGGACAAAAGCTGAAAGGTACGCAAGGACGCGTAGAGACGAACGATCGCATTCACACCGAGAGACTTAAAGGGGCAACACATTGACCGCTAAGACCCCCTGGGGAGGGAGGAGGCCTCCCTTCACCGTCGCGGGCCGAAGCGCCGACAGGTGTACGCGGCGCGCGGGCTCACAGCACGGCCCCGGTGGAGCGGCGCACGACGAGGACGCCGGGCGGCTCCTGCGTGAGCTCCACGCGGTACAGCTGGCTGGGCGCGCGGCGCGACACGTTTGGCACCGACACCGGCACCTCGAAGCGCGGCGCCGTCGCGTCCGTCAGCTGCGGAAAAAAATATATTTTTTTAAAAGCACACAACCGCAACAATCAGTAGCGCGTACAAACAAAATTGTATAAATGCATTCTTATATTTTTTTATGTATAACTTGTATCATTTTTATCCTCGTGTGCCAACGGCCCGTGCGACTGTATTGGGCCCCCGTATTTGCATCCTAGCCCCTGTGCGATCGTGAGCTAGCCTCCTGTGAGAACCTGCATTGGCGCCCCGTGTGCGACCGTGTTATAGTCTCCCCTCGCCCCTCCGTGATTCTGATCCCTGTGCGATGGTCCTAACCCCCGGTACTGGGCTAAGGGAATTGACGACGCGCACGCTAGCGCCGCATGCGACAGCGGTAGCTCGCGAGCAACGGTCAAGCTAGCTATCCCGGGTGCTGCCGTGTGTACTCGCCCGTGTGCCAACGCGCGTGTGAGCGCGTGCGAAGACTGTCACCCGTATGCGCAGGCGGCTGTCAGTTTCCATGGCGACGCTGAGCCGCACGGTGGCGACGTCGCGCGGGTAGGGGCTCCGCGCCACGAGCGTCAGGTTGCCCTCCATGCCCAGCGGCGTCTCCACCCAGCCGCCCGCCGGCGCCACGTACAGGCCGTAGCCCGGCCCGTAGAAGCACCACGGCACGCCGATGCCGCGGCTGCCGCCGTTGCTTGCACCCTCTCTGGTCACCACGGGAACGTAGCAGCAGTTGCGGGCGGCGCACATCGCCTCCGTCACCACGGCGCCTCGTTCGGGATAGCAGTCGAAGCGCCAGGACTCGGCGACGGACGAGCACGACGACGATGATGATGATGAAGATGATGATGTGGATGATGATGTTGATGAGGGTGATGAAGCGTTGCCTGCAAGGAATGCGAAAAATAAATTGGAGAACACAACACAAAAATTATTGCGAGAGAGACTCATGCCACAATTGCTTCTCAGTTAATTACGAATAATATTTTTTGCTAATAATAAGACAACTTGCATAACTTCGCAAACGTGACTGCAGGAATTCATATTCTTTGGGTCTTTCGGTAAAGTCACGTAAGATAGGCACAAAAATAGCATCACATTTTTAATTTGTTTGGGCACTGAATTTGGCATGAGCCGCACTGCTCCCGAAGCAAACTTAAATCTGGACGCTCGAAGATCACGAGTCAATTTAGGTGCGTGGAGGAGGATGGGATATGCAGGGGATGGGAGGGGGCTCTCCTTCATTCCCAACCTGGTCGTGGCCGTGCAGGTGCTGGTGGGCGGAACGGCCGTGACGAATTGTGTTCGGACCACACCACGCACACGTTCACCGCCAGCAGCAGCACCAGCACCACCGCCAGCACCGCTAGCATGCGCCTCCGCGCTACCGAGGAGGTCACCACCATCACCGCCGTCGTCGCCGCCGTCGTCGTAGTCGTAGTCGTCTGTTCGCCGCCGACACGAGGAAGCGGCGGCAGCAGCAGCAGTGGCGCGGCGTCGTTCCCACCGTCGCCACCACCGTCGCCACCATCGTCACCGCCACCGCCGCTGCGTTGGTTCTTAACGCTCTTGAAAAAAAGACCCGTCATGGTCACGCGTGAAACACGGGTTGAAAATGAGTTGGTCGGGGGAGCACTACACGGACTCGAAGGAGCGGAGTGCGGGGCAGCTGGGGGGGGGGGGGGGAGGTGCTTTAACGAGGAGTTGGGATCCCTAAGAGGAAGTTATGGGAGCTGCGCGTCCGTAAATTGGAGAGCGTGGGTGGATGGGGGTGGAGGGGGGTGTGGGGGAGCAGGCCCTTCAAGGAAAATCAGGGGGCAATTGACAAGGGGGTGCGTTGTACTTAATGGTGAATATCGGGGCCCTGAATGTTGGTTGGCTGCTGGGCTGGTTCTTCTTGATGAAATGGAGGGGTCCTCTCCTACAGAGACAAAAAGACACAAAGAGATCCACGCCTGCACCGAACAAACGCCATTCTCATGACAACGTACGCGTGGCGAAGTTTTAGATTGAACCTGCATGGAGGTCACGGTGTGCATGTGAGGCCATGGTGAGTTCAGGGTTGCGTATGGGGAGCTGTGGTGCAGCGGTTAGCGCGCTACGAACCTGGTGACCCGGGTTCAACTCCCGCTCACGGCCAACACCCAGTGACGATTATCTGAACCGGTCCTGGGCCTCCTCTAGGTCGACTTAACCTCAAATGAGTACCTGGTGCGATGTGTAAGCATCGCCACTAGGGGAGACAAAGGCGGCCGGGGCGCGTGGTGCTGACCACCCACCTCCTCGTGTGCCGTTCCGGCCTTCACAGGTGCTCGCTAACAGCACTTCCTCCAACAGTCTGTTAAGGCTACACGGAGGATGTTTGTCTTTGTGTGGTATAGTACCGAAAACGGGTTCTCGGAGCGCATGAGGCCGTGGTGTGCAGGACACGATGGTGTTTGACGCCTCAGGTTGTGCAGTGGTACCAAAGGTGTGTGTTATCAATGCATGTACGTTTAACTTCCTGCGCGCTGTATGTAGCCAACTGTGCTCATCGGAGGTGCGGGCAGAGGATAACAAACTAAACACAAAAAGCAGTTCCAAAGCAATTCGTTTTCACTATAGCTAGAAAAGTGTACAGCCCCAGTGGCTTCCTAATACCTAACTATAGTCACCCAGGAATGTCCTAAACGCTCGTGACGTCACTCCCCGTCGACCAGCCCCCCTCATTAATATTCATTAGCAGGTGCCATTCTGAAAATGGACACACCCCCCCCCACCCCTCATTAATAATCATGAACGGCTGACGTCACTCCACATGCAGAAAGGTGGAGCGGAAACTTAAATTTGTTGAGGCACAATTGCTTGCACTTTGCCACTCATTATGAAGTAATCTACGCGTCACCTTTAGTAACGTGTCAAACGCGTTTGTCCGTGTGTCTCGCGCGCGTCACGCCACTCCACGTGCGGCCCCTGCCCTCGTAAAGATTCACGTGTGTTGCTGCATTGCATCACCGCTAACGCTGAGAAAGTTGGAGCGACCATTTATGCTTTTGTAACGCCAATTCACCCCATCTTTATAGGGAGCTGACCATCGCGTTAACGCAAAGTCACATCGCACCGCATCTCCTGGATTCGTTTGCCTCCCTCGCCACGTCTAACAGAAGGGAGGTCAACTTGACGCTTCCCTACGACGCTGAAATAAAATGTTTGCTAAAATTCAAATATTTTCAGCTGCTTTGCGGCCATTGCCTCCTATTCGAATAGTTTGCAACTCAGGCGAGCTACAACAGCGCACCATAAGTCTCAGAGCACTGGGACCTTAAGCGATTGAATTTGTATAGGCGCAAATTGCCCCTTTCTTTATGGAGACATTTCTCGGTGATTTTGCAGATATTGTACCGATTTCCAATTTATTTCAAACACAGCGACGGAAAGCAGAAGAGAATAAAGTATCAGAGCAGTGGATTTGAACAAATTGAAGGTCGGTTATATATATGTAGTGGAGTAGGAAGGTGTGCTGGGGAAACTGCACGAGTGTATTGATCACACGGACAGTGTGGGGTTTATCTGGGGTCAGCCTGAGGAGACGGCGGAAACAGTGGGGTCGTGTGAGGACAGCCAGGTGAAGAGGCTGGGGTGATGAGGTAACGGTCGGGCCAATTAAGCCAGAAGTTGCTGTGATTGGTTGGTGCTGTTGCGGGGGCCGAGGAGGCGTCCAGGTGTCTGGAAAAAGGCAGGTGGTTGAAGACGCGAGGCGTGCGGAGGCACGCGGACCAATTAATCAGCGATAATGAGAATGGGGATAAATTGGGGGGAGACAGAGAGAGAGAGAGAGGGAAAGATTGGAGTTGTGCGGTGAAGACGTGGAGTTCGGAAACAGAGTTTAGAGGAGAGTTGGAGCATGGTGATAGCGAAGACGAAGCAGTTAGCAGTGGAGTGAGCATAGTGATAGCGAAGCTGAAGCAAGACGAAGCAGTTAGCAGTGGAGTGAGCATAGTGATAGCGAAGCTGAAGAAGACGAAGCAGTTAGCAGTGGAGTGAGCGTAGTAATAGAGGAGCTGGAGACGAGGTGTGCGGAGACAGAGAAGTGAGATTGGGTTTCGCTGTGTGCGACGACGCTGTATAGCGGAGGAGCTGAGGAGGATAGCCAGCAGTGGAGAGAGCGTAGGAATAGAGGAGTTGAAGACGTGTGCGCGGAGCAAAGCGACGTGATACTGGGAACCAAGGTGGTGAGCGAGACGGGCGAAGCATGGCGAGCGAGCCGCGGTGTCCAGGATACGGTGGAGTGTGGAGGACGTGTTAAACGATGAAAATAAAGAAGTGGTTGAAGAAAGACAAAAGTTGTTCGTGTAAAGTTCAACCACTACATATACAGTGCTACAGTGAAATGTAGTGAAGTGTTCGATGCCATAGTTTCGTGCAAGATCCACTGCCATTAAATTTACACAAGATGCAATTGTCCTCTGCTCGGTTCTTTCGTAAATATTACAGCTCCCGTCCCTATAGGACGGGCAAAGACGCCAGCATGAGAAGGAGGAGCGTTCCAGACGGCCGCAGAAGCGCATCCCGAAATGCGAGCAGATGGGATGGCCGTCAAAAGCCGCCGCCGCTGCGAGGATGAGGGGGAGTTCGCGTGATGATGGGCCATGCCCCTTGACGAGATCATCGAGGTACCGTGGTTCGCTTGCGGCAAGCACTTTGTGTGTGCTGCGAGTTGCGGACCGTAAGGGGGGCATTCCGCGTTGCGATCAACAGCGCGAGCTGCGTTTTTTTTTGCGCCGTTGTCCTTCGGTGTATTCGCGGTGTGTTTTGGAACGTGTGTGTGTTGTGTGGGGTGTTAGATTGTGTGAGTTCGTTAAGCGGAGGTGTGCACGAGACTGGGTGCAAGGGTTAGTACGAGACTTGAGTGTGCGCAGTGCTGGATTGAGTTAGTGCGGGGTCTGGACCATACGTTGTTATAAAGGGGCCCTAAATTAAAAATAAAAACGGATGAATATTAAAACACTATTTTTTTTTTACTTGCAAAATACATTTCATTTTTTTCATTTGCTATACAGCCAGATAACGCGACAAATCGCTAACCTTAAACACCCCAGTCGTTCATAAAAGTCGAAGGCGGTATAGTACTATAGTAATAGAGCGAGTGCAGAATCACTGAATCGGAATTGATAGCTTGAAAGCGTTTAGCGCGGGGTGGGGGGCCCCTTCAAAGTGGGGGGCCCGTAGCATGATGTAGTTACTTTTGCTTCCCGGAATAATCTGGCACTGTGGGGTGCGACACGTGGGGTGTGTGGGGAGCGGTGGTGGAGCGGTCGGCGCGCCGCGCTTACAAAGCCGGCGAGCCGAGTTCGAATTCCGCTCACGGCCAACACCAGTGATGATTATCTGAACCGGTCCTGGGCCTCCCCCTAGCACAGAACCCCGGTGCGGTGTGAACATCGCCCGCTAGGAAACCCCCCACGCCTCGTGTACTGTATCGGCCTTGAAAGGTGCTACTCGCCAACAGCACTTGACCTAACAGTCTTTTAAGGTTATAACGGGGGATCTTTGTTTTGTGAGTGACGTTGGGAGTCTGTGACAAACAGGGTTGTGACACACACAGGGTGTGAGTCTGTGTGTGGGTGACACTCAGGGTTGTGAGTGACACACAGGGTGTGAGTCTGTGTGTGGGTGACACTCAGGGTTGTGAGTGGGTGACACACAGGGTGTGAGTCTGTGTGTGGGTGACACTCAGGGGTGTGACACACACAGGGTGTGAGTCTGTGTGTGGGTGACACTCAGGGTTGTGAGTGACACACACAGGGTGTGAGTCTGTGTGTGGGTGACACTCAGGGTTGTGAGTGGGTGACACACACAGGGTGTGAGTCTGTGTGTGGGTGACACTCAGGGTTGTGAGTGACACACAGGGTGTGAGTCTGTGTGAGTGACACACACAGGGTGTGAGTCTGTGAGTGACACACAGGGTGTGAGTCTGTGTGTTACACTCAGGGTTGTGACACACAGGATGCGAGTCTCCGTGTGAGTGACACACACAGGGTGTCTGTGTGACACTCAGGGTTGTGACACACAGGGTGTGAGTCTCCGTGTGAGTGACACACAGGGTGAGTCTCTGTGAGTGACACACAGGGTGTGAGTGTGTGTGTGACACTCAGGGTTGTGACACACAGGGTGTGAGTCTGTGTGAGTGACACACAGGGTGTGAGTCTGTGTGTGTGTGACACTCAGGGTTGTGACACACAGGGTGTATGTGTGACACACACAGGGTGTGAGTCTGCGTGTGGGTGACACACACAGGGTGTGAGTCTGCGTGTGGGTGACACACACAGGGTGTGAGTCTGCGTGTGGGTGACACACACAGGGTGTGAGTCTGCGTGTGGGTGACACACACAGGGTGTGAGTCTGCGTGTGGGTGACACACACAGGGTGTGAGTCTGCGTGTGGGTGACACACACAGGGTGTGAGTCTGCGTGTGGGTGACACACACAGGGTGTGAGTCTGCGTGTGGGTGACACACAGGGTGTGAGTCTGCGTGTGGGTGACACACACAGGGTGTGAGTCTGCGTGTGGGTGACACACACAGGGTGTGAGTCTGCGTGTGGGTGACACACACAGGGTGTGAGTCTGCGTGTGGGTGACACACACAGGGTGTGAGTCTGCGTGTGGGTGACACACACAGGGTGTGAGTCTGCGTGTGGGTGACACACACAGGGTGTGAGTCTGCGTGTGGGTGACACACACAGGGTGTGAGTCTGCGTGTGGGTGACACACACAGGGTGTGAGTCTGCGTGTGGGTGACACACACAGGGTGTGAGTCTGCGTGTGGGTGACACACACAGGGTGTGAGTCTGCGTGTGGGTGACACACACGGGGTTGGTGCACGTAGCTGAGAGTTTGGCTGCGAGTGCATTACGCGGGTGCGAGTGAGAGAGAAGTGAGAGAGAGAGGAGAGGGTAACATCAGCAGCTCGCTCGGACTCACCTCCTTCCCGGAACAACTCAGCAGCATCACAATCAGCTGCTGCCCCGACCTTTGACCTCGCCGCCTCGACCAATGGGCGGCTGCGCGGCCACGTGACGCGGGTTGTTGTTTGAGAAATCAGCTGATGGCCCTCCCGTTGCTGGGATATTCTAACCCGCAACAAAGATAAATTACTAAAGTAAATAAGCTCATTTAATTTAACTTCACACTATTACGAGAGCCATACGGGGAGGGGGGGGGGGGGTCTATCTGCGGGAAGAGAGATGGAGGCGGCGATTTGGTTTACTTATGGGATGAATATCGTCATTAACTGCCCATTGTTTTGTTACTCAGAAATAACTCTTTATGGACCCGGGGAAAGAATTGAGATTTTTTTTTAAAAATGTAATGCCGGGATTTAAACAACATCAGTTATAACCATCACATGCATACGACGGGAATTAACCTCAGGGGGCACGCAAATACTAATGCGGGAACACATTTCACACGAAATGTGTTAGGGATTTCCCCTGAGAATTAAAATCGTTATTTTGCCTCACAATTATAGGAATGAGTGCAAAGTAACAGAATACTTGCACGTTCACATTTATATACACGGTGAGAATATGGGTCTCTCTCCCCTGAGAATTAAACTACCGGGTGTTTTCAAATAGATGGACCCAATTTCAAAGCAGTACTATTAGCATCATCTTACCTAGAAATGAAATACCTTAATCTGTACGTGTCTCAAAAACCTCCAGGTTACTTCCCGACAAGATATAAAGCTGAACTATGGTACCCAGGTCGCTTTTAGGACACCAAACAACAGGGCGAGAAATGTGGAAATCCGAGATTTTTCATTTGAAGGCCCCCTAAATCTCGATTTGAAGTGTCCCATAAACAAATCGCTGTTGCAGCGATTTTGCTGTGACTGGTCCCACCTGAAGACGGAAGCTTGCATTGCCTCCGAAACGTCGTGTTTTAATTGTTTATTTTATTTTAATTCAATTTATTTTAATTTGTTTTACCTACGTGACTTTACCGAATAGAACCAAAGAGTATGAATCCTTGCAGTCACGAAAGCTTCAAATCTAGAATTAAACAAATGTAAGTGTGCGGGGTTGTTTCGTTTTATTGAGTGTTAGACGGAAAATAAAATTAAAGCGAGAACCATTGTTCCATCTTTTCGTTGTTCTATCTTTGATTGTTTTTGAGGTATTTCGGATTCAAGTGGGTTTTTTATTTCAAAAAAATACGCATTTTATGATGTTCAAATCTGAATAATTCGGAAACGGTAAAATGTAAGAGAGCTTCCCCTCGTAGAGTATTAAGTTAATTAATTTTTGTTCTTTCTCATAAAACAAGAACGGAATCTTTAAATTAAACGCTTTCCGATGGGTACGTCTTGAAATATAAGAAGTTGAATCAAGTGGTCAACAATTTAAGTTTTTTTTGCGGAAAAATATTTTTTTGTAGTTGTTAGTTTCTGACCAATTGTAAAAAAAAAAATCATATCAGGCTAATTATTATATTTATTGAAACGTTTTGGCTGGTGAAGACAGGCTTTATGAACTAGTATGATACAAAAAGAGAATTTACCTCACACTAATGGTTGTATAATATTCACTACTGTGCTATACACATTGCAACAGATTAATATACGCGGGGAGAATATTAATTTTACCTGAGAATTAACCCATCATTTACTTCCGATAAGCTCGGTTGGCTACATAGGGTGTGAAAGAAGTTCAACATACAGTACATACATACACAGTACGACACACATGGCATATTTGTAGTTAAACACAGCCACGAATATCATGTCAAACATTCACGCACAGGTCTACTAAAACCTGCTATATACACGGTTGGTCTCGCATCCATACAGACCTGTGGTTTGGTCATAGTCGCAATAATGCCACGGTGTATCACCAACAAATATAAAAGACGGTTAAGGGTGGGTCCACAAGTCTTGGGACCCCCCCTCCCCTCCTCCATTTAATTATCTAAAACCTTATATTCGTTGGCTTTTAATGGGTGTGGAAAAACAGAAACGAATATGCAAAGGGAAAACAAATGTTAGGAGCCACTTAAATTGGGGAGGTCACGATATCTGAACCACCCTGTGGATTAGGGGCCGTCCATAAATGACGTCACGCGATTTTGAACCGATTTTTGACCCCGCCCCCCCTTCGTCACAAAAAGTCAGACCCTCCCCCCTCAAATATGACGAAGCTCTGCCCCCCCCCCAAAAAAAAACATACTTCAAATCGTTTTAAACTATTGTCATTGTAGTGCGTATTTAATGTGGCGCTGCACTCTGATGTCGTAGGAGAAAACATTTATTAAAAAGTATATTTAATTAAGTAGAACGTGTTGTCTACGTTTATTTAAAGTTGCGAATTTTGATGTGACGTCACATTTCTCAACCCCCCCCCCCTCGTCACACATCGTCACAAATGTCTGACCCCCCCCCCCAGGTGCGTGACGTCATTTATGGACGGCCCCTTCCATACGTAAACAAAGATCCCCCATATAGCCATTAACAGCCTGCTGTCAGCAACCAACTATGATGCTCGCTAATCCACACTAGCCCCACGAATGCGCACACTTTAATATTACTATAAAGTACTAATAATACTAATAATACACCGCACAACCAGGTCATAAACTGCCCTCCCCCTGCCCCGTGCCGGCCCGTTACGTTGTTGCACGGTCATTCCCTCGCACACCATCATTTGTACCTTTGCAAACTCCCCTCCCCCCACCCGTGTCAGGCGCTCCATGAGCATGTTATACTAATTCCTTTGTCAAAGCGTTTTGTTTCCTCCCACACAGCTTAAAGGACGCGACCTGGCTTGACTCTCTTCATTCCAACGCTGTCTTCGTGACAGCACGGTCCCTTCACCTGATGAAGGCGACTTGTGTTGTGGCCGAAACGTCGTGATTTTTGTTTTATTTTTTTTACCTACGTGACTTTACCGAATAGAACCAAAGAGTATGGATCCTTGCAGTCACGAAAGCTTCAAATCTAGAACATATACGTACTATTATACCGTAACACTGATACTGTGTCATACATACATACCAGCTCACCAATATTAAAACCGTACAGACACTAATGCCGTACAACCAACACACGTATATACATGTCAGCTGACCAACACAACTATCAACGAGTGAACGGACACACGAACTCTCGAATATCATTTACACACATGCTCAAAAATACACAAGCTCAAAAATACACAGCCATTACATGCCAACTTATCGATAACTCACTCACACAGTAAACACAAAATATAACCAATACAACTGTGATACCGTACCAACGAACGACTCAATACTAAAATACGCACAGATGACTGGCACACTCAAACGCACTAGTTGGACGAACAACACATTCCTGCGGAGGGAGCTGGTAGGAACGTTGGGTTGCTCGGTCAATGGCCAGGGTCAACGGCGGCGTGGTGTATTCCGCAAATATGCCCGACTGTGGGGCGGGCACAAGCCTGCGTGAGTAGGTTAAACGTTGAGTTTTATAAGGGCACCACGGGGTGACCAGCCCCTCCCCACCCAGCCCCACCCCTCCCACCCAGCCCCTCCCCACCCAGCCCCTCCCCACCCTCCCTTTTCCACCCAGCCCCTCCCCACCCTTTCCACCCAGCCCCACCCCTCCCATTTTTGGATGCACAACGGACGGACACAATAATCCCGTGTGGGCTGGTGTAACCAGGAGGTTCCTACCAGTATAAATGCTTTAACTATGCGATACGAATGGAAATGGTACACAATTTGGAAGCCACTGGAGCTATGCACCTTTCAAAGTTCGATTTAAAAAACGAATTTCGTGAGAACAGACTTTCGTGTTTTGTTTACGATCCTTTGCCGCACCTCCGATAAGCACGGTTGGCTACGTAGGGTTGTGCGAAAGTTCAACATTCACACACAACTGTTCACCAATACGTGAACTGATAATATACACAGCTACGCATGACTGCTACAACATCGATCTCACAAATAAACACCAACACACGCCAGCTCGCGAAAATGCACGACAAAGACAAACCAAAGATCCCCCGATTAGCCTGAACAGACTGCTGGGGGCAAGTGCTGTAAGCAAGTAGCACCTATGAAGGTTGGCACGGCACACGAGGGGGTGAGTGGCCAACACCACGCCCGACCGCCTTTGCCTTCCCACTGGCGATGTTTACACACCGCACCAGGTACTCATTTGAGCCTGAGTCGACCTAGGGGAGGCCCCGGACCGGTTCAGACAATCGGCACTGATGTTGGCCGAGTGCGGGAATCGAACTCGGGTGCCCCGGGTTCATAGTGCAGCACGCTAACAGCCTACACCACTGCTGCCCGCATGAAGACACTCGCATACAAATTCAATAAACCATAAATCGCATCCGCACAAACCATGGCAGATGTAGAAATTTGTCGTCGCACAAATGGAAAATAAAAAGAAACCTCTGTAATGTGCGACTGTGGTCACCCGGAACAAAAACGATGGAAGATAATGACGACTCAAGGCCCGATTCACAGATACGAATGAGGCATCGTCGCAGCGATGCACTGCACTATTCCGGACGCAATAATCCGGCTCGACCAACCACCTCAATGTAAAATTACAGTTCGGTGCTCTTCACGAACATCAACCATACGAAGATGAAGACCAACTCAATGATGCAAAATACGCATTACAGTATTGTATATAATTCGGGGACTGTCTTGCCAGTGGTGTACCAACACACACACAATACTCACCTTCATCGATCATTAAGCACTGCCTTATAACAAATATAAAGTACGCGGTAGTAGGATAATACTACGGGCAATGGCCCTCCTTCAATTATGTACTTCCGATTACCAAGGTTGGATACGCAAGGTGCGAAGGAAGTTCAACATACACAGCAATTAAACAGTTGAACTCAATAAAATACATCGTCTCACAGAGCAGTGCTTCGTGTTTGCAGAATGGCCAACGGAAGTGAACATTCGATGACCCTCCGAGATCCCTTGGAACGTGACCTCTGGTCCACACAGTCGAAGGCAGGGCATTTCCCACCTGCTCTGATGAAATCTTGGACCGACGATTTTTAATAATCAAGATCCAAGGAATCTAGACACATCAAGTGCCAAAACAAATTTATATGTGATGCTACTTTTGTGCAGTTATTCTGGTGACGGGGCTGTTACCATCAACTCACTGAACCTGAGGATTTGGTTTCACTACAAGTGGTTTGCCGGATTTTAACCCAGGCCCTCACGTCTGCCAGCTAAGTGATTGGACCTCCGAACCACTTGGCCCATCCACTTAATTCTCGAAATGTCAAAACAGACCCAGATTTTTTCCTTCTCCCCCCCCCCACCCCCATACAACAAAAATGTGTAAATGTATAAGAATCGACCCTGCCAGTGTCTGAGGACATGACGAGTCAGTCATTTTACACTCAATTTTATTTTACTCTCAAGACAAAGGAGTGAGCGTTTGCCATCACTAAAGCATTCGGTTCGTTTTCTGTACATTCTGCGGTGAATACAAAAAAAAATATAGGTACATATTTTTTTGGGTTCCACTTTTGATTTCACGAACGACAAAACATTAACGGAGGAATACGGAACAGAGAGGTCACAATCCGTGAATTGGTGGAAATTACTTTCCCCGTCGATTATTTGTGGGAAAGAGACAAATTTGCAGAACAGTGATTTGCCCATTTGCGTCCATCGAATATTGGTGGACATTGGCTTTCCACCAGCACACACACATTGGGGTCCAAGTATTTAAGTACTCATGAACAAAGGCAAGATTGAGATTGTAAGCACTGCACAGTTCGGTACACGTATATCCCATGCCATATACAAGTTATTATTTTGTCCAAAAAAAACACACACACAAACGAAACAAAGACGTAAAAAAATGAAACTACAATACAATAATAATGAAACGAATTAACAACACTGAAAATTGCACCAAATCGAAAAATGCACGCGTCTGCAAAGGAAGTCTGGCAAGTTATGAGAGATCCCCCCCCCCCCCCCCCCTTTGTGTAACAGGAAACCTTTACCCACAAAATGCTCACCGAGTCTAAAGACACTTCCAGGAACGTCCCGCTTTACGGTAAAACCTTTTGTTACGAGGAAACCGGAGCACAGGGGTCTTGGTGTCTCATCCTTTACACAATCCACCAAATCCAGCTTTTGGTCTGTGGATAAATAGCCTACGTTCCTTAATATTTCACTTTGGTTTTTGCCCGCGAAAAAAACATGTGTTGCTTTTGTGAACGCCCGAACTGCGACTCTCACGCGCCCCACCTTTAACATTGTACAGTGTTGAGGCAGTCAAGTAGTTAGCGATCACATTAGGCTGAAGTCAACCTAGAGGGAGATCGGATGCCAATTTGGCAAACCGGTGTTCTGTGTGCATCAGGTCCAATAAAACCAGGACGCTGGCACGCAGCGCTCACTATAACTGCCACGACGCTCCCGGCACACACGCGCACAAACACGCACACCAGAAGAAAAAACACACGCACAACCAAAATCTGCTACAAAAAGACGCGTTCATCTGTTCGCGGTTGTTTTTTTTTCCGTTTTAGATAATTTTTTTGCTTATTTTCATATACAGTATTTATATATATATCAAAACCGATGTAGTTATTACAGTTTGATGATGGCGATGATGCCGATGGATATAGCGGGTTGCACCCCCCCCCACACACCCCCCTCTCTTTTTTGCCGTGTGTGAAATTACGACAAAGACCCCGTTTTCTGTATTTAATCGGAGTTACATTCTCTGTCCCCTGAAGCCGACGTCCGTGCGTATCCATGTCACGGGGTCGCTGCTCTGATTAAAAACACCACGCCTTGCCCTTCCTCTTCCGAGTGCGGCTGCTTGTGTGCTTTGTTTACGTTTCCCCACTCGCTTGCGGTTTATTATTCTTAATATTATTTTACAAAAGACCTCAAAAGATCTGGACGAGGAAACAAACCCCACCGGCTCCTCTCCCCCCCCCCCCCCCCATCATCATCAATTAATGAGGATCAGGGTAACACAACCTGCTTAACCATTATAGGGAGGGCCTTGGGTAGCTGTGTGCGGTTTTGAGTGGTGGTGCGTACAGTTGGTGGTGTATGACAGGTACACGCTGAGTGGCGTGGTTGGCGTGTGCATTATGCATGGCGGATGCGCACCCCGGCGTACATTATGCATGGCGATGCGCGGCGTACGTGGCAGTGTGTAATGTGCATGGGGGTATAGTGTGAGCAGGTGTCTGGTGAGAATGCTGTGGATTGGGGTGTTTGGTGCACATAGCAATCAGTGGGGGTGTGAGTGTGTGGTGTATAGTGCGCGGCGGTGTGTAGTGTGCATGGGCGACCAGGTGTGCAAGTGGTGTAAATGGTGTGTGCGTGGGGGTATAGTGCGAGTAGGTGCCTGGTGTGAATGGTGTGGTGTGCAGTGAGCAGTGTGGTGTATAGTGCATGTGGTGTACACGGTGCGTGACGTATAGTATGCTTTCTGTGTGTGGTGTATTCTGCGCAAGGTGTACATGGTGCGTGTGGTGCAGCGTGCTCGTGGTGTGCATGCTATTTGTGGTCGATGGCGTGTGGTTCACATCGTGTAAAGTATGCATGGAGCGCACGTGGGTGTGGTATATGACGCCACGTGGCCTGCCAGACCGCCGTCACGCTGGCGCGGCGTCCCTCCCGTCACCGCGCGCCTCTGTGTGGGCACAGCAAGTCGGTCAACGTGATCCACGTCGGCTCCACGTCAGCTCCACCATGTCAGCTCCACCGCAATCTCACCCACACCGGCCTTTCCGCTCGCAGGTCCAACTCCGTCGTAGATGTTCGCGAATGCATATTTTGCGTTGACAGTTTGTTATCCGTTTGGTTGCTAGTTTGTTTTTGTCGCCGTCGTCGGCCGCCGCTGCTGCTGCTATTGCTGCGGTCCCAATCGACGTTCCCATGGGAGCGTTAGTGGGGGGGGGGGGGGGGGGGGGGGATGAGGACGAGTAATGGTGTTGCCCGGTCACTCGTCCCGGCGCCAGCTTTGCTCGGCCTCCACCTCGATGCTGACGACGAGTAGCAGCTCACAGTGCTTCCCGCTGAACTGCTCCTTCAGGAAGCGCCTGGACAGCACGCACAAAGTCGACGGTGACCAGTCCGGTCTGAGACCATCAAATCTCCACACTTTAAAAAGTCGCTTTCAATCACTGGCAGCTGCCTGGATTCTAACTCAGGTTCTCAGCAGCACCAGCTCAACACTCCTGGCCTCTGAACCACCAAGCCACCTCTACATTTTTTTTTAATTAAAGCTTCAGTCCCAAACAATCCAATCCTCTAACATTTTATGGCGGATGTTTTAGGGAACCACGGTGGTAAGATGTTAACTACCTTGCCTGGTATACAGGGGGACTTGGGCTCGATCCCGACCCTGACGCCTGTACATTTGGAGTTTGCATGTTCTCCCCGTGGTTGCGTGGATTTTTCTCCGGGTCCTCCGGTTTTTCCCTCCACATTTAGAATCACCATCACACGTTTAGAGTGTTTGGCTGCATTAGATTTCCACATGATAAGGATATAAGACTCAGCGGGCCTTATATCCTCTTTTAGATAGTTAAGGATAGCGTCGGGCAGCTTCCTAAAAATGTTTTGGTTACCTTAAGGTGCAACCCCAGTGACCCGGAACGAGCGGTAGCGCATTTATCACATGCTGCAGAGGTTCGCGGTTTGGGGCCAAGCGGCCATCCTGGTAACCATTGCTGATGTTAAAGATCTCGAGACATTAGTTAAAAAAGAGTGGGCAATGTGTGCTTGCGCTCATGGTCCAAATGTGCGTAATTAGAAATTACAAAAAAAAAGGTTCGAATTGGATGAAGCTACAAAGCAGCTTCGCCCTCGCCTGAGGAAGTACCAAAATGCTCTCGTAATATTTTTTTTATTGAACAGGTAAAGCCCACCGAGTTATATCAACGTTTTTTTTAAGCGACCTGGCCACAAACGATAGCTCAACGGAGTGGCTTATCACGTGGAAATTGACAGCAGCCAAACGCGCTGAACGGACACTGATCTAAAATTAGGGAAAAGCCGGAGGACGCGACGAAAAATCCAAGCAAACACGGGGAAAGAGAAAACGCAAACTCCAAATATACAGCAGGCGTCAAGAGTCGGGATCGAACCCACGACCTCCTGCAAACCAGGCAAGGGAGATAACATCTCGCCAGGTCAGTGGTGGGCAACCTGCATCCCACGGATCTCACCCGCCCCGTGGAGCCCCTCGCGGTATCCTGGTCGAAGTTGTCCGTACGTCGTGTATGTACGTTGAACTCCTTTCGCACTGTATGTAGCCAACCGAGCTAATCGGAGGTGTGGGAGTGTCAAGCTTGCGGCCCGACCGAGACGAAGGAGAGGCTCACTCGGGTGGCCCACCGACTCGTCTGGGGTTGCCCATCGCTGCCCTACGTCGACCTGAACCACGACGATCGGCTGCGCCATCGCTCACCGCAGCTCGTCCTCGCAGCCGATGCGCTGCGGCGCCTTGAGCTTGGAGTCGAGGTTGTAGTAGACGCCAGCGACCTGGCGCACGCCAATCCAGTGCTTGCGCTTGAGCGGCAGCTGCAGGGGCCCCCAGCGCATGCTCGATGGGATGTTGAGAATGAGGCCCACGACGTTCCCAAACGCGATGCTGTCCACGTCCCTGCTCGGAGGGGAGGGAGGGACCGTGGGGAGGGGAGAAAAGCCGGGTGGGGGGTGGAGAGAGATAGAGTTAAAGAGCGAGACATTTTCCATTGCTTACAACGAAATGATTATCAATGCTCCCTCAATCGCTTGGTTAGTCATTCAGGCCTGGTTAGCCATTCAGGTCTTGGATTGGATTGGGCCCGGTTAGCAATGACCATCAGAACTGTGCAGGTGTTGCGGGCATGGGGCGGACGAGGTATGGTGAGGAGATGGTAGACGTGGCTCAGTGTCAACCCCTCCGCCCATGCGTTGGGGGGGTGGGTGTTTACGTCATGTTCTCTGGTTTCCTCCCAGACGAAGTCAAACACTCATGAATGGAATTGGTAAAATAAGGCAGGGCCATTCTAAAAAAAAAATCTTGAAGCTCAGTGAGGCTTTCCTATTTAAATAATTAGCTTCATCATTTGAAATCTTTAATGGAACAGACCACCGCTGCACAATTAACCGGCCGTGCGTGTGAAATGTACGCATGTGTGCACGGGGAAAGAGGTATTTTTAGAGCGACTTCAAGAGACGCTGGCTGGAGGTGATGCCCATGGCAACGCACAACCAACGAACATCATTAAACGTTATATGGCAATGATAAAAATGTCATTAACACAGCAAAGCCTCGTCGAGTCTAAAGACTTCTTTTTTCAGGAGGATCCTGCTACGTAGGGATGTTTGGCCAATTCCTCGTCAGTAATTAGGTGTTTTCTGCACGTGATAGGAAACCAGAGTGCTCAGAGATAGCTCATACCACCACATATATGAGGGGATAACACTCCACGACTCACACACATGGGTCCATGAACCACCTTGCTGTAATGCGATATCCTGGTTGACCTCACAGCCCAGAGAGATTGTTAAGTTTCATAAAACCTTTTCGATCCACCAATCCTCGTCCCCAATGCGCCGATTGCAGGTGTCACCATGCCCGCCTATAAACCATGTGACTCGCATCCCCGTCCACCCTGGGTCAAAGGTCGCTATAACGTAGGGATAGTGAATGCAGCACCGATCAACAAAAATGCCATTTTTGTTAATCCACCGCGAGATGAGGGCCGCCCCATGCACGCCATGGGGGTGAGTTTATCATACTTCGCCACGCCTGTCCACCATTGTCTCCCCAGTAGCGATGTTTACATACCGCACCAAGGTACTCATTTGAGGTCAAGTTGACTTAGGGGAGGCCCAGGACAGGTTCAGATAATCGTCACTGGTGTTGGCCGCGAGCAGGAATTTAACTCGGGTCGCCGGGTTCGTAGTGCGGTGGCGCCAACCACTACACTACCGCTCCCCACCTATGGACACCAATAGACCAATACTGATACCCGCCATTTGCCACTAAGTGATGGTGACGTCACCACGGCACCTGTGCCAGGCCAGGTGCACTTTGAGACCATGGGGTCACGGGACAGACCCAGCAGGTGCCATGGCTCAGCTGACTGAGAGACTGTCAAGATGCACCTGCTGTGCAACCTGTGCCAACTTGCTGTGTTTTAGCCGCCCAGCGCTCCGCTCGTTGCTGTGAGTTTCACTCCTCTGCCCTCAGTTGTTATTGGAGGGCGACTGCCTTAAACTGCCCAGTAGCAGCGTCCTTCACGAGCCTCCTCCACAGAGGCCAATCTTGACACCGTTGGTACCAGTCTTCGGCAAGTCCACTCAGCTCCAAATCCTCCAATGCCGCATTAGCTCCACCTCTTCTCCAGCCCGTGTCTTGCCCGTTATAGCCTCCTCAATGCGGCCAAACAGAAGCTGCTTGGGCATGCGGTGGCTAGACTTGCGGGCTACATGATACAGCCAACGCAGCCTTGCCTGACGGAGGAGCTCACTGATGGGAATGTGTCCAGATATTTCAAGGATTTGTGAGCTCCTCACACAATCCAGCCTGGTTAAACCCAGTATAGATCGTTGGCAGGCCAGCCTGAATGTTTCCAAACAGAACTGATGTTTCATTAGAGGGGTCCACGTTTCACAAGCATAGAGAAGGGAGGGCATGACTGTGGCCGAGAAGACCCGAAGCATCATGTGGAGCGACAGACCAGGTAGCTCCACACAGCGTTACGCAGCCGATTAAAATATAATGCCACCTGACTGATTCAGAGTGAGACGTTTGCTCTCAAATCGGAGCTGGTTATAATCACACTGCTCAGGCATGGAAAACTCTCCACAACTGCTCTATCACCAATGGAGAGTTAAGGGGGTGGAGTGTTTGATGGCACAAAATATCCAGGCAGTTACTTAGTTTTGGTGGGGTTAATGGTAAGACCCCACCCTCTTAGTAGTTCACTCCAGGTTCAGCAGCAGCACCTCCAACTCTTCCTCTGAGTAAGCAGCAATCACCAGATCATCAGCATACATTACATGGTTGACCAATAGGGAGCCGTCCCTCAGCCGCACTCGAGCATCGATCAGCCTCCCATTGTATCTGTGCCAGATGGAAATTACTCCGGTACAGCCATGGAAAGATTCTGAAACTACGTGGTCAAAGATGGTGTTAAATAATGCGGGAGCCAGAGGACATCCCTGTCGCACCCCAAGGTGAACAGGGAATGGCTCTGACTCTTGGCCACGTAGCCCGCGGCTGCCCACCAACATGGAAACCCTTAATGTTTAGACACCACACCACATATGACAAGCACCAATATGCTAACCACACCATACATAAATGCCTCCACATAAAGCAACACTATTAAGATGCTCATTCCATACATACAACACCCACACATATACTACACCAACTGCATCCACACAACACGCACCCATTAACAATACACACATCAATCCACACCACTTCATCAAAATATGCCACAGCCACCCATACCACAAATACAAACGCCCACAACTCCATTCATACACCACACCATCCCACTCCATCGCACACCACACGCACACACCACATTATCCTTAAAATACACTCACCCACACCATACGTGCAAAATTATCTCCGAAAACGTTTAACTAACCAGCCAGCACCATGGTCAGAATTCCACTCACAATTGGAACGTTTTGAGTTCAAATCTGGCTGGGTGTAGACTTGACATTAATCATCATCTCTCGGACATATATAAAACACATAGCTCAACTCTGATAGACACCAACAGTGATTCCCCCAAGGAGGGACTGACTCCTGCCATCAGACTGTGGAATTTCCACCGCTGACCCAGGATTGCCAATCGCGCCAAGTGCTGTCCCCATGCTCCGACTTTGTTTCTACGCTGCATGAGAAATGTGACTCGTGTTTGTCACCCAGCCATCATTCTCAGCTGATTAAATAAAGGACACTGGATTGAAAATAATAGTTAATTCATAAGTCTTCAACAATACTTAAAAGGCTATTTGAAGCATCCTGCCTTGAGGTATTTGGGAAACCATCCGGAGAAAATCCACCAACGCACTCAAGGTGACGTGAGGACAAACAGGTTCTTGGAAACCAATGGGTTTAGGCGTTTCGCAAATCTCTGCACGAGCTACCAGCCCTTGCCTCCAACCCAAAGCGTAGGATGGCAGGGCAATGCATAATAGCCGTAGGTGTTTAGCGGTTAAATATAGCAACGGTGGGCGTAAGGCGTGCCCGGTATTTGCACGGGGCACAGTTGAAATGGGAAATCTCGCGTTGGTGACGTTGCCGCTGTGGAGGGAGTGGTAGACGAGGGTGGGGAGGAGTGTGGGGTAGTGGGAGAGGGTTGGGCGGTGGAGGGGCCGAGCCTTGGGCCATGGACAAGCCAGGTGTGACGCCAATCCTACGGTCACCGCTCGTTAAAGCATGGCTAGCGAACCCGCCAGGAGACACGGTAATGAGGCGGTGGGCTCAGGGGGCTCATAATGGCCGTGTCGGAGTGGCAGAACCCACGCTGCTGCTGCGTGAGATCCATGCCTTCGATGGCACAAAAGCAAATGCTGCCCAGAAGACCGAGTTAGAAACGTAGAGTCTTGTCTATGTGTGTCTCTGTAAGTAGACTCATAATAACCACGTCAGAGCAGGCGACCTAGCACCAAAGCTTCTGGTTTCAAATCCTGGGGTGGTGTCTCTCTCTTTCTCTCTCAAGGTGACCCCTAACGGTCACATCAGCGCCCGAGAACTAGTACCGTTGAAACAAATCAGGTTTCCGATACTGACACCGGGAATTTTTTCCCCCGAGGGTTCATAACAGCATTGTGAGAAAGCACCTCAACCGACGCGATTTCGATTTGTGGGTTTGAGTCCAGGGTATGGGGTGTCCCTCTCTCTCTCGTGGGGTTTTACATAATGATTGTCAGAGCACACGAGCCGGTACCACTAAGCTTATAGGTCTCAGTCCAGGTTCCCACCCACTGAATGTAAAACCATAATCCAGCGTCCATCAAGTTCCATTGTTCTCTTTGTACCTCTTACAGACCAGTGGAAATTTTTTTTAAATGGATTTTTTTTTTACTCAAATACTAAAAAAATATCAGCATTGCTGGCTCACAGACTGAGACACACCCTCCTCCCCGTTTTTTTTTTTAATCCTGATGAGTCTGTTTACAAAGCTGATTTCAAAATGCGCATACGTCTCCGCTAAATCTGTTTGAGAGCCTCTAAATCTGTTTGACGTAAATCCCCACTCGCCATTACAGTTATTGCAACTATCATTAAATTCCAATGTTTTTTTTTCTCGTACTAAAAGGTCACTCGTTGAGCAGTGCTATAAAGAGCCTCGGCAAAAAGGCTGCAACATTTTTAATCCTTGACACAAACTCGTTGGTCTTCGCCGACACTGCTAACATGTCAATGTCTTCAGCCGCTTGTGTCGCCAACTCACAACTGGGAAGGTCGCGAGTTAAAATTGCTCACCGTTGTGAGAATCGCAAAGTGAACGAAAACCACTGCGTCCGATCAGACGAGTGTCCTCTGGCGACGACGGCGAGTTGAGTTCAAATCCTGCCAGGGGTCGCCTGCTCCAATCACCACCATCATGACCCCCCCCCAAATTGGGGTTCATAAACCCTTCTGATTCCGTTCCGATTACGTACGTTTACGTCATCGGAATCGAATCGATTTCCAACGGAATCGGAAGTCAAAGGCCATGCGGAAGGGTGTGTGGCGGTTTGGTGCCAGCTGTCATAGAGTGTGGTCGTGTCACTACGGTTCTGTGATGAGCACAGTACAATGTCTTTATAAACAATGGTGCTATGCCTCTGTAAATAAATAACAGTAACGGCTTGCGCGTTCCGAGATTCAGCGGTGAATGGGACCCACCCTGCAACTTGCAGGCGTCTTGGAATGGGAAAGGGTTGAAATGAGCACTGCTTTGTGGGAAGTCAACACGAGTTGCCTGCCCTATTCAGAAGTCTGGCTCCTGTACAGTTGCTCTTTCTCCCCTGCTGCTCCCAGTCTGGAATGTCGTTCCCCGAGCAATCAGTGCTGTCGACTCCCGGCCACTGTTTAAGTCCAGACTCGAGGCCTTCTTGTTTCGTCTGCCTACGACTGACTTGCATTGTATTGAAAATTGTATTGTCATCCGAATGTGGAATGTGCACCATTGTCTCAGGACAGCTGAGATGATCCATCACCCAATGTTCATTTGAGAATGGAGACACTAACTTGATTATGTGACCTTGAACAATTCATACGTCAAAACTGGTTTGTAGGCTCACTATACGTGCATTGACATGGAAGTAAAAGAAAACTTTTTTCCCCCGTGAATGCAAATTAAATACTACTGTACCTTGATGCTATAAAAGAACAAAAGACAATACGAGACAGACCATGAAAACGATACACGACAAATGAGACGACAGAAAAGTTGAAATAGTTCCAGGAAAATAACCAAGTCCCCGGTTTTGATGTTTCACCTAATCGGCAGGGCGGTGAAATCACGCCACGCCTTGTGACCGCTTTGTTGAGTATCCGTTGTGGCCGGTCTGAAAATCCAAGCATTCGTCGAATGTGGGAGCTAATTATTTACATTAGACTGCATGACTTGTATGTATGCATGTATGTACAGTGAGGGAAAAAAGTATGATCCCCTGCTGATTTTGTACGTTTGCCCACTGACAAAGAAATGATCAGTCTATAATTTTAATGGTAGGTTTAATTGAACAGTGAGAGACAGAATAACAACAAAATCTAGAAAAACGCATGTCAAAATGTTATAAATTGATTTGCATTTTAATGAGGGAAATGAGTATTTGACCCCTCTACAAAACATGACTTAGTACTTGGTGGCAAAACCCTTGTTGGCAATCACAGAGGTCAGACGTTTCTTGTAGTTGGCCACCAGGTTTGCACACATCTCAGGAGGGATTTTGTCCCACTCCTCTTTGCAGATCTTGACGGTGGGGATGGTGATCTTGGGGTCATAGGCAGCATTCCTCCTTCTCCAAACACGGCGAGTTGAGTTGATGCCAAAGAGCTCCATTTTGGTCTCATCTGACCACAACACTTTCACCCAGTTGTCCTCTGAATCATTCAGATGTTCATTGCCAAACTTCAGACGGGCATGTATATATGTGCTTTTTTGAGTAGGGGGACCTTGCGGGCGCTGCAGGATTTCAGTCCTTCACGGCGTAGTGTGTTGTCAATTGTTTTCTTGGTGACTATGGTCCCAGTTGCCTTGAGATCATTGACGAGATCCTCCCGTGTAGTTCTGGGCTGATTCCTCACCGTTCTCATGATCATTGCAACTCCACGAGGTGAGAACTTGCATGGAGCCCCAGGCCGAGGGAGATTGACAGTTCTTTTGTGTTTCTTCCATTTGCGAATAATCGCACCAACTGTTGTCACCTTCTCACCAAGCTGCTTGGCAATGGTCTTGTAGCCCATTCAAGCCTTGTGTAGGTCTATAATCTTGTCCCTGACATCCTTGGAGAGCTCTTTGGTCTTGGCCATGGTGGAGAGTTTGGAATATGATTGACTGATTGTGCTCTTAAAGGGAGTGCTCCTAATCTCAGCTTGTTACCTGTATAAAAGACACCTGGGAGTCAGAAATCTTTCTGATTTGAGAGGGGGTCAAATACTTATTTCCCTCATTAAAATGCAAATCAATTTATAACATTTTTGACATGCGTTTTTCTGGATTTTTTGTTGTTGTTCTGTCTCTCACTGTTCAAATAAACCTACCATTACAATTATAGACTGATCATTTCTTTTGTCAGTGGGCAAACGTACAAAATCAGCAGGGGATCAAATACTTTTTTCCCCTCACTGTATGTTGAACATCTTTGGCACCTTAAAAGTTGCAAACTGTGCTAATGGTCTTGTGGCGGAACTTGGTGAACGGACTGAGACCGTCAACTCTTCCGGGTGGTTTTTAACCATGCGTGGCCGAAACCTGGATTTGAACGCAGGGTCTCGAGATAGTGGTGCCGGTTCTGCGTCCTCCGAACTGGTATCTACCCCCACTGATCCACACCCCTCATGGCCTTGGGAGTCTGTTGACCTTTACAACGGGCAGTCCTCGACTTACGAGCAACAGGCTAAGTTCCCGGGATCCGTTCGTTAGTAGAGTTGTTCGCATCTCGGAAACTCAGTATTAAATGGTACGTACGGTCAGTGTCATAAAACGTGTAATGGTTCAACAAAAAAGGGAAGCTTTGTGAAACTCATGAGAAGAATGTGTACACGTGCATGTAATATGACTGTAAATAAAGCGTAACTTAAAGTAACATGAAAATAAACAAAAACAGTTTTACTTTCACGTGCCTTGAATCCTGAAAGGGTGTTTCTAGGATGCTGGGACTCATTACATCTTGCGGGGGATCCCTCCGCTGAACAAAATAGTTATGCGGTTCGGTTCGCAAGTACGACCTTAGATTCACAAGTCGGAGGGTTAAGATAAAATAATCTTATGGTGGTTCGTTTGTTAGTGTAAATGTTCGCATCTCGGGGACTGCCTGTACTTTTGTCAGTGAAATTTTGTTGGAGTATCCGTCTCTGCCAAGAACCCATAAACTATGAAAACTAAAAACTATTTTTATTTTACCAGGTAAGGCCCACTGACCTAAATAGCTTTTTTTTAGAAGCGACCCAGCAATAAATAATAGCTCAACAAAAAGGCTCATCAAGTGGAAATGTATAGCAGCCAAATACTCTGAAAAGCATGAAAAGCATAGGGAGAGAGACGCGCAACGTCCACTTATAAAGCAGGCGTCAGGCTCGGGATCGAACCCACGACCTCCTCCATACGAGGCGAGGAAATTAACGTGTCACCACCGTGTCCCACAAGCGGCTTTGCTTGGACAGCCCAGCCAAGCAAATAAGTACCGGGAATAAAATCCAGGTCCCCGCACACGATTTGTTTAACCATGAAACCGTTGTCTATCAATGTTTAACTGTCGTTTCTCTGTGTTTTGCGAGGCAGACAATGGAATAGCAAAATACATTTGAGATGAAAACATCACAAATTCTGCCTCAATTATGTGAATGCCACAGTGGAGTGTTGTGAAGTGTAGCGTTTCGACGCGGCCATTGTGAACCCATAAGGCTCCTCCTCGACTTCCCTGATGACATGTATGTATGTATGTTGAACTTCTTTCGCACCGTATGCAGCCAAATGTGCTCATCGGAGGTGTAGGGGAAGGACAACAAACTAAACATGAATCAGTTCTAAAGAAATACGTTTTTAACTTAGATTTAAAAGTGCAAAGCTCCAGTGGCTTCCTAATATCGGAAGGAACAGCGTTCAAGATGGCCATAGAAGCCCCATCTGAAAGCGCGCGATGTAGTGACCATCTTTGTTCGATGGCGACCCAAAAGCTGCTGCTTCTACGAGCATGACCGGAGTTTAAGTGATGGTTCCATGCTCCTTGACGAGATCAGCCAGGTATCTGGCATTTCGGCATGGTAGAGATGTTATTACAATAATCGGCGATGGTCTCGCGGACTCTCGCCAAGGTGTCCTGACCGAGAGGTCTCCAAGTGCTAGTGTGACTGGTTCAATACCTGCGCTTATCCCACCACACGGCTTCGCACGCCTTGGTCTGCAGGGCGGCCATGATGACGTTTACGTCGTAGTTTCCCGTTCCCAGCATGCTCTTGTGTGGGTTCAGCATTGAGTCTGGAGACAGCCTGTGAGAAGACAATGAATACAACCCCCCCCCACCCATTAATATTACAGGCCACAGTAAATTTTGTTAGCGAGCACCTATTAAGGCCGGTGCGGCACGTGATGAAGGGGTGGTGGTGGTGTGACAAGCGCACCACGCCCGGCCACCTCTTGTATCACCAGCGCCGACGTTTATGCAACATTACATACCAAACCACTGAAATAGCTCTGAATAACACGAAGGCATTTTTTTTATTGGAAATGTTAGCGGACACACCCAGTGTTAAGTGGGGGTGATCATTGCTGGTGATATAAAAATAAAAAATGTTTCACAATCAGACAGGTGACCAGAGGTCGGAGGGGGTTCATCGTGACCGCGTCAGAGACACCGAGCGAGCGCTGGGATCCTGGGCAAGAACTGGAGTCACGGAGCGAGTCGATGGTCTCAGACAAAAATACGATTAAAGTTCAGTTTGTCACAATTTGGCACAATTAAGTAGAGAATAAAAAGTTGAATCGCGATGTTACGAATACTCTTTGCGAGGAATTTAAGAGGAACGGCGGGCGTGGAGTCGTTGCGGAGGGGGAAGACGCCCCGATAATATTCATGACTCCAGACGTAGTTGGGCGACATCTTCACAGGAGACGGACACGATGTGTGATGATACACAGCTCTCTGCCCCTCAGTGACCCAACGGGAAATTCCTCCGTTCCATGACAACCGCGACGCCAGAAGCACGGTTGAGGTGGTGGTGGGGGGGAAATAGCGGAAAATACAGAAAGTAAACAAAAAATATTTTTCCAAAAACGACGAACGTTGGCAGAATCAAATGGGGGAGGGGGGGGGCGAACCCCGTCGCATGCTCCGGTAATTATAACCCGCACGGGCATGTCACCGATGCGTAAGGCACAACATCGGCTCGTCGCGTTACGTTAATATTTAATTGCGTGTTTTTGATCTCTCCCCGGTTGGCTCTAATCGCACGCGGGCCCTCTCGCGCGTGCAAGCAGGCCACATTTTATATTTTTTTCACTTTACCCGCCGTCACAATTACCGCCAAAGCTCATTACGGTCTAATGGTGACCACACGTAAAGTCCCATGACCAAAATCTCCACAGAAACAACAAAATACCACACCTGTATCAAATGGGGCTTCGTGCGCCGATACATTTGTACCCCATTCAACCAATTTTTCCTGTATTTTGTGTCTCTTTCAAAAGTTTTTTTGTCAACTCTTAAGGGTTCTTTGGGTCTTTCGGTAAAGTCACGCAGATAGGTTCAAAGAAAATAACCAAAAGCTACGACGTTTCGATCGCAACACAAGCGGTCGTCATCGAAACGTCGCAGTTTTTGGTTATTTTCTTTGAACCTATCTACGTCACTTTACCGAAAGACCCAAAGAATATGAATTCCTGCAGTCACGAAAGCGTTAAGTCAAGATTGAACTGTTAAGGGCTCTTAACCGGTGAAATTAATAGGTCGGGACTGCGTTGACAGTGGTATGTACTGTAATAACAATGAGAAAATAACTCAATACACGAGTATGCTATATAGAAAGTGGTATTAAACGGTGAACGTTATGGGTTTGTTTAGTTTGCGACGGCGACAGAATAGAGTGTTTGAATGACTTTCACCTGAACTACCCTCCCACCATGGTTAAGAATATTTATGGTATTCACGCCACTCGCGCACACGAACACACACCAGCCTGCACAAACTCACACAAAAGTGCACAACACAAGGCAATAAAAAAAATACAAGGCTCAGATGCACCACAAGATCACGCACATCACAACTGCATGCTCATGCCAAATATATAGCTTACACACTTGGACAGCGTAGACACACAAGCACATACACACCACAGGTTGAAACAAGCAAACTGATGGTTAACACTCATACACCACAAACTCAAAGCACAATAAAGCAGAGATGCTTCAATAACACATAGAATTGATATAAACTAAAAGATAACGTCATTGCATGCTGCACACACCTGCAAACACACCGAGAACACAACTCTCCAACACACACACACTTTCAGCACCTACACACCTCCACGACATACACACCTGTCATAAACAAAGATAACAAAGAGCCCCCATATAGCCTTAACAGACTGTAGGGGCAAGTGCTGTTAGCGAGCACATACCTCCAGTATACACATCTTGCACATACCTCCAGTTTACACATCTCCAAAAACATCAATTGTTAGTACACACACACACAATTATGATTCAGCACATGCCACCCATAAATCCGTACATACAAACACCCATCGCAGCATACACACACCTCCATCACCCACCGCATCTCCACCTCGAACACTTTCAGTAACACACATACAAGATACCTGCAGCGCACATTAGTGCGCACACACACAGACGCAACTACAACACACAAATACACCAATATCCCCGGAACACGACGTACAGAACAATACTCATCCACACCACACTCATATCCCCACAAAATATTTAGCGAGCACCTAAGAAGGCCAGCACTGTACATCAGGGTGGTGTGGGCAGCACCAAAAACAAAGATCCCCCGTGTAGCCTTTAACAGACTGTAGGGGCAAGTGCTGTTAGCGAGTAGCACCTGTGAAGGCCAGCACAGCACACGAGGGGGTGGGTGGCCAACACCACGTCCGGCCGCCTTTGTCTTCCCAGTGGCGATGTTTACATACCGCACCAGGTAATCATTTGAGACCGAGTCCACCTAGGGGAGGCCCAGGACCGGTTCAGATAATCATCACTGGTCTTCGCGGCCGTGAGCGGGAATCGAACCCGGGTCGTCGGGTTCGTAGCACAGTGCGCTAACCGCTACACCACCGCTCCAAACTGAACCACAAAGACTCTAACACACACATACTTCCAGTGCACCTCCAACACAAACATCTCTAGCAATACACACACGCTCCATCACACTTCCAGTATACACAAAAGGAAAACGCACACTCCCAAATAAACAAAAGAAACGATATCAAACGCCACATCTCAAACACTCCTCCTTGTACATATCCACTGAAACGATACACACCCACACCTCTAGCACACAAACACCTCCTAGCGCACACACAAACCTCATGTAACACACATTTAGCACGGTTGGCTACATACGGTGCGAAAGTTCAACATACATATCCCAGCATCCTTTACACTTCTTGTACACAGAGGCAAAAACCACCTGTATAGTCTTTAACAGGCTGTTGCTGTTAGCGAGCACCTATGAAGGCCGGCACGCCACACGAGGGGGTGGGTGGCCAACACCACGGCCGGCCGCCTTTGTCTCCCCAGTGGCAATGTTTACACACCACACCAAGTACTCATACGAGGCTGAGTCGACCTAGGGGACGCCCAGGACCGGTTCAGATACTCGTCACTGGTGCGCAACGCGCTGACCGCTCCCCACACACACCGCTCACAACCACCACACACACAACCTACTATGCCACAAATCACCACACACACCAACACCTCTCACACACACACACATCAAAACACTCCCAACCATCCCACACAAACACCCACCGCTCACACACACGGCACCTCTCTGAGATCATGTAGCTCCCATCACACACACACACGAACCACTCACATACAACTCGATATCTAAACTACGTACATGTACAACACACCGCCTCGCCACACTGCTCTCTCACACCGACAACACGCATGCCACCGATATCACGGACCTCCGATTAGCACGGTTGGCTACGTACGGTGCGAATGAAGTTCAACATACTGTATATACATCACACCACACACATCACGTCACACAAACACACCACCCTCATAAAATCACACCACACACATCATTCAAACACATCAAACCCCTCACACCACAACCATACACATCACCCTCATCACACAAACACACCACCCCCGATTAAAATCACACCACACACATCACCCCCATCACACTACATCACACAAACACAACACCCCATACACCACCCCACACACTCCCTATCACATCACACCCCCCCCCCCATCACACCATACCACCCCCACACATCATACCACACATACCACCCCCGTCATTTCATACCGACCCCCATCACATCACACAAACACACCACCCCTATAAAATCACACCACACACATCACCCCCATGACATCACAAACACCCCTGCCCCATCACACCACACACACAAACACATCACCCCCATCACACCACACACACATCACATCACCCCCATCACACTACAAACACACAAACACATCACCCCCATCACATCACACACACAAACACATCACCCCCATCACACCACACACACCAACACATCACCCCCATCAAACCACACACCAACACATCACCCCCATCACACCACACACATCATCCCCATCACACAAAAACATCACCCCCATCACACCACACACAAACACATCACCCCCATCACACCACACACACATCACCCCCATCATACCACACACACCAACACATCACCCCCATCACACCACACACACATCACCCCCATCACACCACACACAAACACATCACCCCCATCACACCACACACACATCACCCCCATCACACCACACACACCAACACATCACCCTCATCACACCACACACACCAACACATCACCCCCATCACACCAACACATCACCCCCATCACACCACACACACAAACACATCACCCCCATCACACCACAAACTCCTTATCACCCCCATCACATCACAAACACCCCCCCACCCCCTCCGCATCACACCACACTCACACCACACACACATCACCTCCATCACACCAGACACACACACACACATCACCTCCATCACACCAGACACACACATCACCCCCATCACACCACACACACAAACACATCACCCCCATCACACCACAAACTCCTTATCACCCCCATCACATCACAAACACCCCCCCACCCCCTCCGCATCACACCACACACACATCACCTCCATCACACCAGACACACACATTACCTCCATCACACCACACACACATCACCTCCATCACACCAGACAGACACACACACAATCACCCCCATCACACCACACACACACATCACCTCCATCACACCACACACACACATCACCTCCATCACACCAGACACACACATCACCTCCATCACACCACACACACATCACCTCCATCACACCAGACAGACACACACACACAATCACCCCCATCACACCACACACACACATCACCTCCATCACACCAGACAGACACACACACACCTCTGGCAGATCTCGTCGAGCTGCTCCTTGTTGAAGGCGCCCCCGTCCTGGAAGACGTTGTTGAGAGCGTGCAGGGCGCACAGCTCCCGCCGCTGACGCTCGTGGTAGAGGCCGCTGGGGGCCTGCTGCTGATGCTGCTGCTGATGCTGCTGCTGTGCGTCGGCTTCAACCTTCATCTTCTTCGCTGCGCTCGTCCACGGCACGCAGTTCATGGCCGTGGATGATGATGAGGATGTCGTCGTCGTCGTGGTCGCTGCTGCCGCCGTGGTCTTAGCCGAAGCCGCCAGGGCGAATCGTGTGGCTACGACGATGGTAAAGATGATGATGATGGCGAAGCAGATATCTCGGGGGGTGGGGACGCAAACGATGTAGATCATCCGCTGGGGAAACCTATAAGGGAGGAGGAGGACGGGGGGATGATGAGCACAAGAGAAAGCCGTGTTGCATGGGTTCCTACTGCCAACACGACGATGTAGAATATCCAACACCCTTCGGGTGATGGTGGCGGTGATGAGGTTGATTGAAAAGCGCGAGAGAAAGCTACATTTCCGATCTTATATTCTCACCACACAAAAAAAACAAACCGATGTAGATTATCCAACACCTTAGGATGATCATAAAAAAGCATGATTGTGATCATGCTAAATATGATGAAGGTGCTGCTGCCGGTGATGAAGACGCTGCCGGCGATGAAGACGCTGCCGGCGATGAAGACGATGCCGATGATGATGATGCTAAGCCATACAAACAAGATGTTGATGTTCGCCCCATCGCAGAGACCTCTCCCCTCCACAAACCTATGCGAGATGCGATAACGTTGACGACTATTCACCGAGACAACTCCCTGGGCAGGACATGTGTTGTCTGCGGCTATTACGCAGATAATCGAGATAGACAAGACGGGTAATTAATGACACTTTGAACGTAATGAAGACGCCTATCAACTCGCCAGAAAACCCATCCACCGAGACGCCGGAAAGGCGATGATGTTGGTTGATAATTTTAACAGATAGTAAAGACGACGTTGGATGAGGACTATCAATCATTATGTACAGTACAAGCTAACCGAGACTACAACGAGGCGGTCGAGAGCTGTACAGTACTCGGCAATCACAAGTTAATTAAAAATGTAAAAGGAGATATACCCTTTTGTTGTAAGACGATGACGAAGATCGCGGGTAACGACAATGGATAAGAGAGTGGTGCGGTGCGATGCAAATGTTGCGCTGCGGGATTATTCATGACGGACATAAGATGATGATGAGGGTGATGAAGAAGGGTGAATCTCATTTACCCCGAGCCGCGATGCCGACCATCCACTGACGGTGTCGACGATTGAGGAAGACGACCACGATGAAGATGAGAAAGACGACGACGATGAAGATGAGGAAGGAGGAGGCCAAAGAAACCCAAACCGCCGCCGGGAGCTCTCGGCCCAACGCTGTTGCCGTGTTGACTTCTTCTCACCACCTCATCAACAACGTTCTTTACCACCAGTCACCCTTCGTCCTCTTGTCTACCTCTCCTCCTCTTCACCACCACTTCTCTTCCGAAGCTCACCCGGATCACCCCTCACTACCCCGCCACACCACGTATTTGAACACCAATCGCTACCCCCCCTCCTCACCACTTTACTATCCCCCACCACCACCACCACGTCACCCTATTTCCCGCTGCCTCTTCCACACAACCACCTCTTCAATCCTCACCTCGTCTCCTCCTCACCACCACCCTCTATTCCCCACCACAGATAAGCACCTCACACTATTCCCCACCACCCGCCGCTTCTTTGACACAAATCACTACCTCCTCGACACCTCTTCCGTCTCCAACTCGTCTCCTCCTCCTCACCACCACTCTATTCCTCACCACCCACCTCACCCGATTACCCACCGCTTCTTTGACACGAACCACTACTACCTCCTCGACACCTCTGTAGTATCCACCTCGTCTCCTCCTCCTCACCACCCCTCTATTACTCACCACTCAGCCAACCACCTCAACCCACTGCCCCACCGCCTCCTCGACACAAACCACACTGCCTCCTCGACGCCTCTTTAGCATTCACCTCGTCAACCTCCTCCTCCACCACCACCACCTTCACCGCGTGACCGTCCTCGGCGGCCTCCTCCCTCGTTCTGCTGCCCCCTCCTCCTCCTCCACTCCTCACCCGGGCAGCACTTCCACCCCCACCACTGGGACGCCTCCCATTGGTCAACGACGCGGTCACGTGGACTCACCTCGGCCAATCAGAGCGTCCCGCTGCGGCGCCGTAAACAATTAAGTTAATAATCCACACTTTGCGTGGATATTTTTTGTTTGTTTAAAAAGATGTGTTTTTATTTTGTCGCGTGCCTATGATGAATCTTGGTGCTGGTTAAGAAAACCCAAGCCGCGAGTTAGTTACGAAAATAATTAAATTTAGCCGCCGTGACTCTCACGGTGGAGGCGGGGGGGGAGTCCCGTGATGCATCTGGGTGTGGGCTGGTAGTCGGGGTCCTTCCTGGCGAGGGGGGTGGTGGTGGGTGGGGGCTGGGGCTACCCGCAGAGCTCTCCGTGGGTGCCTGAGCCAATTCAATTTAAAATTAACTTTAAGCACTTAGGAGGGGCCGTCCATAAATGACGTCACGCACCTAGGGGGTGGGGGGGGGAGTCAGACATTTGTGACGATGTGTGACGAGGGGGGGGGGTTTGAGAAATGTGACGTCACATCAAAATGCGCAACTTTAAATATAGACACGTTCTACTAAATAAAATAGACTTTTTAATAAATGTTTTTTTCCTACAACATCAGAGTGCAGCGCCACAATAAATACGCACTACAATGACAATATTTTAAAGCGATTTGAAGTATCTTCTTTGGTTCTTTCGGTAAAGTCACGTAGAATGAGAATAAAATAATAAATTGATAAAATAAAATAACAATAAAATTCTCACGACGTTTCGGCCACAACACAAGCGGCCTTCATCAGGTGAAGGGACGAGACTGTCCAGAGGACAGCGCTGGAGCGAAGAAAGCTTTAAATCGAGATTTGAAGTATGTTTTATATTTTTGGGGGGGGGGGGCAGAGCTTTGTGACGTCATATTTGAGGGGGGTCTGACTTTTTGTGACGCCGTGTGACGAAGGCGGGTCAAAAATCGTCAAAAATCGCGTGACGTCATTTATGGACGCCCCTTAGGTGGTTTTTAGTTGCCACCAATGGTTATGATTCACAATTGATTTGGTCGCGAGTTCGGCCACGCGAAATGATCTCGCCAAATGTGTCACGTGGCACGCTTCGTACGCGTGACGATTGAATTTGTGTCCGGTTGGTGGAGGGTCTTACGACACACATTTGGCCGGATAATTTATTTACGTGGATCAGCCCAAATATTATACGATTCGTAAAACATTTATTTCGTCACGTCATTTCACATTGTATATATATGTTTTGTCTCAAAAAATAACTGGCAATCAATGCTTCCAGAGCAAGCAAACTCTGCAGCGGTTTAGACAATTCTGGGTCTCATCAGCAGTCAGGCTTGTTAAAGACATTGTGATCTGGAAAGATATGCAAAAATGCAGATAGACTATACGGTATATGTTTTATTAATGTGGAGACGGAACGGAATTCTGATCATATTTGGTTTCTCTCCAGAATGCTCCACAGCATTAACTCGCAGTGTGGCTGGCGAGTTTGTGCGCATTAGTCGGTAACAATTTAATCCGGATCAGCCAGCCAAAATATGGCACACAGACAACACGTGAGAAGACGCACATGACAAAGTTTTGTTTTTTAATGAGAGGTCATTTGAAAATTCATTTCTGACCAAGTAACCGAAGCAAAGCAGCTATGGCCAATCTAAGCAGGTGTAAGCCTGGACAGTCCACGGATTGGTGACTCCCATACATTAACGGGCTGTTGTAGGGAGCTGCCAGGCTTTGTTGTGCACCGCAGAGGGCAGTACAGAAAAATGTTGTACCGTACTTCTATGCTTCCAAGTCCACGCTTCCCGCCTTCACCAACCCGCACTGACCAGCTTAATGAAGTATGGTCAAATAACTTCCCCCACCTCTCCCTCCCACACCTTACACAGATGTAGATGACATCTGTGTTCGTACAGGATTCACTCTTGTTATGCTCATCGCTGACAAAACCTTGCCAATTGGTACGCGGCAAACGTGCCATTATGGGTTTACTCTGTGACTCATGAGTCACGTGACCGTGTTAACCCAAATAGCAACTGTGCTACTCTTTCACTCTTTGTGTTTATCATTGACATAGCCTTGTTACTTTGTATATAACAGTGATAACGTGGGTTTTTTTTCTTACTTTTGGGCATCATCAGTTTATTATATCTCCGTAATCCTGTGGATGACAAAGAAGCAACTGTTATAACGCAGTGGACTCTACCTGGTAAAACTTTTTTTGTTTATTTATATAAAAAGTTTATTATATTCTTTGGCTCTTTTGGTAAAGCCACGTAAATATATATTTTTGGTGATTTCCTTACCTTACCTATACGTTGCACTACTATCGTGTGTTTTACATTGTTCGTTCAGAATCAGAATTTGTATTTACACAAGAGGAATCCGTTGAGCTCTCAAGCTATTTTTCACAGATGCCCAGTAGGGGCGGGTTAAGAACATTACAATAACAAACAGTACAAAACACGATAGGAGTGCAAAGTACACGAGAGGACACGTGTGAAAAAAGAGCTTTATAGCTCATCGGATTCTTCCAGTCAAAATAAAGATTGTGTGTAAACAACATACATGTTATCAGCGTTTTATATTATTACAGACCAATTCAGACCTTATTGGTCACCTCGTGCCCTTATAAATCTCAACGTTCATCCTACAAAGACACATCACAACGGAGAAACACAAACAAATAGACAACACGATTGTTGCCCGTATTGAAACGGCTGAACGCCGTATGGACCTGAAAACTCAATTTCCCTGTACAAGAATACGGGGTAAACCGTATGGGTTGACAGCTATGAAACATCCATAATACTGGTTTTCTTGGGTTAGATCGCGTAAATATAAATGTGTCGTTAAACCCGCCACCACCTGACAGCCAATTTAGTAAGGTTTGTCATGTAAACAGAACGTGCCAATTCGTTACGAGTACACCACACTCGTAACGAACAGCACACCGGTGTGGATTCACGTAAACAGAACGTGCCATTTCGTTACTAGTACAGCACACCTGTGTAGATTTGCTCTCCAACACACCTCTGTAGATTTGCTTTCCAACACACCTCTTTAGATTTGCTCTCCAACACACCTGTGTGGATTTGTTCTCCAACACACCTGTGTAGATTTGCTCTCCAACACACCTGTGTAGAATTGCTCTCCAACACACCTGTGTGGATTTACTCTCCAACACACGTGTGTAGATTTGCTCTCCAACACACCTCTGTGGATTTGCTCTCCAACACACCTGTGTAGATTTGTTCTCCAACACACCTGTGTGGATTTACTCTCCAACACACCTCTGTAGATTTGCTCTCCAACACACCTGTGTAGATTTGCTCTCCAACACACCTGTGTAGATTTTCTCTCCAACACACCTGTGTAGATTTGCTCTCCAACACACCTCTGTAGATTTGTTCTCCAACACACCTGTGTAGATTTGCTCTCCAACACACCTGTGTGGATTTGCTCTCCAACACACCTCTGTAGATTTGCTCTCCAACACACCTCTGTAGATTTGCTCTCCAACACACCTGTGTGGATTTGTTCTCCAACACACCTGTGTAGATTTGCTCTCCAACACACCTGTGTAGAATTGCTCTCCAACACACCTCTGTGGATTTGTTCTCCAACACACCTGTGTGGATTTGCTCTCCAACACACCTGTGTGGATTTGCTCTCCAACACGCCTCTGTAGATTTGCTCTCCAACACACCTGTGTGGATTTGCTCTCCAACACACCTGTGTGGATTTGCTCTCCAACACACCTGTGTGGATTTGTTCTCCAACACACCTGTGTGGATTTGCTCTCCAACACACCTGTGTGGATTTGCTCTCCAACACACCTGTGTGGATTTGCTCTCCAACACACCTCTGTAGATTTGCTCTCCAACACACCTGTGTGGATTTGTTCTCCAACACACCTGTGTGGATTTGCTCTCCAACACACCTGTGTGGATTTGCTCTCCAACACACCTCTGTAGATTTGCTCTCCAACACACCTGTGTGGATTTGTTCTCCAACACACCTGTGTGGATTTACTCTCCAACACACCTGTGTAGATTTGCTCTCCAACACACCTGTGTGGATTTGCTCTCCAACACACCTGTGTGGATTTGTTCTCCAACACACCTGTGTGGATTTGCTCTCCAACACACCTCTGTAGATTTGCTCTCCAACACACCTGTGTGGATTTGCTCCCCAACACACCTGTGTGGATTTACTCTCCAACACGCCTCTGTAGATTTGCTCTCCAACACACCTGTGTGGATTTGTTCTCCAACACACCTGTGTGGATTTGCTCTCCACCACACCTGTGTGGATTTGTTCTCCAACACACCTGTGTAGATTTACTCTCCAACACACCTGTGCGGATATGCTCTTCAACACACCTCTGTAGATTTGTTCTCCAACACACCTGTGTAGATTTGGTCTCCAACACACCTGTGTGGATTTGTTCTCCAACACACCTGTGTAGATTTGTTCTCCAACACACCTCTGTGGATTTTCTCTCCAACACACCTGTGTAAATTTTATCTCCAACACACCTGTGTAGATTTGCTCTCCAACACACCTGTGTGGATTTGCTCTCCAACACACCCCTGTAGATTTGCTCTCCAACACACCTGTGTGGATTTGCTCTCCAACACACCTCTGTAGATTTGCTCTCCAACACGCCTCTGTAGATTTGCTCTCCAACACACCTGTGTGGATTTGTTCTCCAACACACCTGTGTAGATTTACTCTCCAACACACCTGTGCGGATTTGCTCTTCAACACACCTCTGTAGATTTGTTCTCCAACACACCTGTGTAGATTTGCTCTCCAACACACCTGTGTGGACTTGTTCTCCAACACACCTGTGTAGATTTGTTCTCCA